ACAGGCATCCATGGTAGGGGATAATAAGGAGTGAAAGCCGGAATGACACCGAGGAAGAATAACTGGATAACACTCGCCATGCAACCAATCTTGAAGTACTTCCATACACGGCGATCGCCCCATACGTCGGGGAGAAAGGTGTTGGCCCACGGGGCAAGGCAAAAATTACACTGTAGGATGATGAGGAATAGTACTGGCAACCATTGCCATACAGGCAAATCCGTCGGGCCAGAAATCGGTATCGCAAATGTAATTAGACAGAGGAGTGATGAGAAGCAGGCAGTGAAGGCGGTCAGGTAGAGCTTGGGGTGTGGTATCTTGATGATAAGTGAATCCTTCCAGAAACAGAAAGCGGCGAAGTATACCACAGCTCACCGTGTCACTTCGTAGGAATCCAACGAGTTCTGGGGAATACTCGGGAAAGCCTGTTATACGCTCATGAGCGGCACTCAAGGCTACACTGAATGATTCCGAATACCTTCTAGTCAAAGATGGACGTCGCTGAAAACACACGAGTCTTAGGCTGGGACTGATTGATTCACCGAAGATCACTTGCACTAAGTTATTCGAAATGCGAACAAACCCACGGAAATTGAAGGTGTGCTAGACCTAGACTCTCTAGTATGCATCTCAACATCAAGCCTTGAAGATTAGTAACAACAATACGAGTGGGAGTTAATAGGCTGAGAACATTGTTCTCAGAACAATAGTATCAGAGACAATATATACGCTGAGTGCTTACTTTATTTTCTGCCGCGTTGAAAGTGTCCGGACCAAGAGACGAGCAGCTCCCCGCAGATGGTACTGCCGTTCGACCGCCCACGGGGCCGGTGCGGTCCCGTGACGTTTGTCTAAAGCGAGGGTCTTCCTATGACCTTAACACTGATTCGAATCTTACGGGGCCGAGGATAGCGCACTATCTCGGTGAGTGGTAGCGTTTTGGTTATAGGAGCTCATATTACCTTCAGAAAATCGAACTAAAGAGGTCTATGATCACCCCGTATATAAAGCGCTGCCCGGGAACTCAGCTCGACTGATGGACTCGTCCTGGGATCTCTGATGCCAGGGACTTGACGCCCAGCCTTTCTCGATATTACCATGAACGAAACCCACCACAAGTCGAGAAGCACAACGGCTGCAAACGATCAGTGAATGGCATTCATCACTCGCGGGGGGTCGAAGGGAAATTTCCCGCTCGACCCAGCTTTTGTTCTTACTTGGTCGACCCGTTGCGACCAGCTCAGGTGATCAGACGAATGCTACTTAACACGGCGTCAGGTCGAGATCCGAAATCATTCCATCAGAAGAGCACCCAGCTTTTTTCACTGAAATACTCTGATGGACTCAGCTAATCTTTGATTCTCTTATTAAACAGAAGAGAATCAATGCTAGATCTCGACTAAGCTTGCTTTTCTAAACGATCTACGACAAGAACCTATTTGAGTTGGGGCACTATCTCGACCGATCAAGCCTTATCGGTAATGCGGTTATCCATTCTCATCGGACCTTCGCCCAACGTGTCCTGGAAACGAGACGTAAGGCTTCAACGAACTTCCGCCTCGGAGACGGCGTCTCCCTCTCCTATGTAGACACACAACGTAAAGGAAATGTGGCACTCACGACGACTTGCTGCTCGATACCAATCTAATCACATCTCCCAACGGAGGAACCAATGTGAGGCTTCCTGCGTCGAAGTCAGAATAGGTTCGTTTACTCCAGAGTATTTCGCGCTGAATACTAGTACTGTTTGAAACGTTGCTGTCAGGTAGTTGACTATTCCCATGATACGAATTTCTAGCCCATCGGCAGATTCGTCTCAGTAGATAGTGACAGCTCAATGAACCTTCATATACGATGTAACCACCGATGACGATGTTGGTAGGGGAAATGTCATTTATCAGGTGCCACAAGTTCAGGCTTAGGTTTATCTGAAGGCAATATGTCAGGTGTACTCGGCCATGATGCTTGGCATTGCCGAGTTGGCAATTCAATGTAAAGCACAGTGCGATACAACCCTATCGTTCCCCTGAGTGGAAGCATTCAGAAGTGTTGCTTCGATCACCGAAACAACCGAGCACTTCGATTTCTGGACGCCCCGCGCTAGTTTCGTTGGTGTACAAGTGGTACAGCACCACTCGCTGCTTCCACACTAGAAGGGAGTGAAAACCTCACGGCGTTAATGTCAGCTGAGAACCATTGACAGCAGCTCGACAATTGACTACGGTCACAGTATAGGAGACCTTCGAAGGTGCGGAGGGCGCGAACGTCTGACTTCCGATTTTAGTGGAACCATCTCACTCGGACGCATAAATGTCTCTCAAGTCGCGTAGTTTCGTCATGACACGTGGAAGTGGAATCAGTACTGACTATAATTTGACTGATTATACAGTGCAGTCAAGGTTCTCTGAAAATTTCAGGAAAAAACCTCCGAGAAGTATTCCATGTGCGTACAGACGAAACCTCCAGAGCTCAATAATTCACTGAACACGAGACAGATTCATACAACTAACCAGCACTCGCAGATCATGTGAACAACTTCCTACCCAAACCAGCGTTCCAAGCTTTGGGTGGTGGTCTTGCAGTCATTATACCTCCTTTACGATAGAAGCAACTACCACCCCAGTTAAGACGACTCGGAGTGTAGTCTCTCAATAGAGTACTGCCAATCATACCTCTGTGGGCAAAACTGCTTTCCGCAGTGGACCGAGGTGTGGCTGGTGACACTGGTATGGATGGTAGCGTGTCACCACCTAGGGCTGCCAGTAGCTCTCGGCTACTGCTTAAGGACTGCCCGCCGCATCCGCGTGGAGTGGAGACAGTCGACTTCGGGGATGTAATATGGCTGCCGATAGGAACCCGAGAGAGCCGATTTCTGTCGGAGAAGGATCTCACTACGGAAGACCCTCGGACACTCCTTGGAGTATCACTCTGGGTTGCTGCTGCTGAGCCTGTCCAGTTATCAATACTAGAAGTGAACGTTCTAGCTGCAAATCTAGCCGCGCACTCGCCGCCTCTAATTTTCAGCGGAGTGAATCCGTTCGAGTCTGTCTGTACCAGAGAGGAAGGTCCATGTCGACTTGTATTATTCGAAGGTGACCAGCCGATCTCAGCAATACTGGGGATCACTGGGACGGATTCACATCGGGGCATGGAGCGAATCACTTCTTGACGAGCCAAGTCAGCGCTAACTAACCTTCGACGAGAAGGCGTCACGAGGCGTTGTGTGGCCGGATCAGGAAGATGTCGCTTCCCGCTTCGATGTGAGCTCTCATACCCGCCAGACCTAGCGCTGACACATGGAGTAGAGCTTGACGTGCTCGAGCCGACCGAAGGCATCCCTTCATTGAATTGCTTAGCAACACGGTTCCTCATGTGCTCTGAGGGCCTACATAGCGATGACTATGGAATCACTGGAATGAGAGGACGACTTACATCTCTCGGGGGACGTCGTGAACGTTCAGAGAGGGAACGTTAGGGCGAATAACTGCGGAACTGCTTCTTGTCTCCTGGCCGATTTTCGCCACCACACTCTCCGGCTTCGTGTCAATATGGTTCTGGAAAATCGACGAGCTCATCATTGAGCGACGATAATATTCCCGACTGGAAGCTGGACAGTCGACGGTCATTGCTTGGGAAAACAAATCAACTCTCGAGAGAATGCATTACAGGTGAGGGCCACCCTGGCCCGGCCAGACCAGGCCTGATGAAAACCGGAAGTGACGGAGAACACAACACTCATCAATCATCGTCAACGCAATGATGAAACACAGTCTAGAGCACGATGAGCAGGTAAAGCACAGCAGGTACAGTGACAGTGATGGGTGAATACTGGATGAATGCCCCCGTAGTGAACTAGACAAGAGCAACAATCAGAGTTTGCTAACGATTGTGCCCTGCGAGGATTTGGCCATGTCCAGAATAGAATGGAATTCATCATGAGCATCAGGTCTGAGAGCCTTCACTCTCCCCTTGATCTCATCGAGGAAGTTCCAAGCCAATACCACCACAGTGAGATCAGACTTCTCGCTCTGAAGGGCGGCCTTCGGATCATAGACCATAAGGCCGTTGATGCCAGGGACTTGTAGACCGGTCTTCCTCGGGTTATCATCAACAACATATGCCAACTCATTAGTAACACCAGCAAAGTTGAGGAGAACAACGGCCTTAGCCGCTGCACCGTAAGCAACGACCTTACGGCCTTCCATCCACCACTCACGGAGACGTCGGAGGAAACTTGCCGTTCGAGTTCTCGCCAAGTCGGCGAAGTGCTTGTAGGTACCGATACTGTAGATACCCCTGGCCTCTTCCTTCGCGAGCTCACTCCTTACCGTGTCTTCGACCAGTTCCAATCGTACGCCCTTCCTCAGACAGAAGATATACGATGTACCGTGTATACTGGGTTTAGTCACGCGTACAACAGTAAAGCCGCATCGCTCCGCTAAGACAATCATCGATTTTGAAGAGAAGAAGGACTGATGCTCATGGTAGATCGTATCGAATTCTCCATTAGCAACAATATCGGCCTGACTAGTCTGTATATAGAGCCTCGACTCGTCGTTCATAGCCTCCGCACAGGCTTCCAAGAACTCAACTGGCTGGGCAACGTGAGCGAAGACATTCTGCGCCGTGACAGCATCGACCAAGCCAATCTGTCTAGCAACTTGAGGCGACCAATAATCACAAATAGCACGATGACCTTTCTTGATAGTCACTTCACTCATCAGATTCACAGCTGGATCAACGCCGACGGTCTTCCATCCGATTTGGTTGAAGTAGTCCAGTAAAGTTCCGTCATTACAACCAACGTCGAGAACAACACCATTAGACTTTCCGACATCCTTCGCGACCATATCAGCGAACCATTGCGAGTACTTGGCCAAAGTGGTGGATGTACCCGACACGTAGACATAGTCACGAAAGAGGACGTCCGGGTTGACTACATGAGCCAACTGGAGATGCCAGCAGTGCTCGCAAACCTTCACTTGAAGAGGGTACGATTTAAGCTCCCGTGAAGTAGCAGGATGGAAACTGTTAGCAGGCGGCTGACTACCCAAGTCGAGAACCAATCTAAGATCATTCCTACCACAACAGCGGCACTTCTTGACCTCGGTACACTCTAACGCCTTAGCAGTTCTGATCTCAGTATATCGATCTGCAAGGCGAGGTCCAGCGAGGATGATGTCATCCCAGTTGTCTCTGATCTCCTGGCAGATACTCGCAGCAGTAGCGACGAACTTAAACGATGGGATCGCTTTGAGGAACTTGTCAGTCGAAACGCAGAAGTCGTAAGTCGTCTTAGTGAATTTCTCATTGCCACGTGTGCCAGGGACCAGCTGCTCACGCACAAGGGGGACATTGAAGAAGTCCGAAACCTCCTTACCGAATTCATAGACCGTATGTTGGACGCTGGCCAGGTTGTATACCCCACCGTCCGGTCTATAGGTCATGAGCGCCTCTACTGCTCTACAGAGGTCTTCAAGTGCCAAAACCGGCCGATGTACATGCTCAACAAAAATGCCAACTTTCTTCCGAGTGAGAGCTGAGTACGCCATAGCATTCACCATAACATCACTACGAAGGTTCAATGACCATCCACATACTGTACCGAAGCGCAGACCATAGATTTTCTCAGTGCCACCACTCTCCCTAATATAGTGCTCAGCAATGAGGTCCATACACTTCTTGGAAATATCATAATAGTTGTGCCCTTTGTATTTGCAGTATTCCTCATCAACCACTTCATCACTGGTGTCACCATACACGCTAGAGCTGCTGGCGTAGATCAAGACCTGGCCCTTCGGTCGCTTACAAGCCAGGAATCGTGATAGGTTACCAACAGTGTTGGCCATAGTCCCCCAAACACTGGAGCACGAGCGTACCGAAGGCATACCAGCCATCATGATAATCACGTCCTTGTCCGCTACGTCCTTCTCGAAATCGCACTCTTCCTTGCTAGAAAACTTAATAACAGGTATACCGGCTACTTTCAGAGCTACTAGCACTTGGGAGTTATCGTGGTCTACTGCGGTAACATGGCACCCTTTGTGATGTAGGTGCAGAGCCAGCCTGCTGCCGATGAAACCAGCTCCACCATAAATGATAACTTTGGGCTTCTTTGCAGAAACCACAGTAGAGAGGCTAGAGAGCATTTTAATGAAAAGTCACTATAGTAATAGCCATGGTCGACCATCTACTCAAAGACGGACCCAGTGCAGGAAAAATGCATATAAGTAACATCTGTGGATAACTTGTGGAAATTCTAATTGGTTTCTGTACATTTCTACCCGAATTCGTATGTAAACTTCTATAATGCTGAACTCAGCTGAGGAAACCAGGCATATATTCCAACACTAAACGGGCCCCGTAAATGTATGGACTTGCGCCGCACACGAACATACAGTCGGCCCGGAGTCCTCAACTGATTGGGAAACACAACAGTGAGTATTGACGAAAAATCAAGTTATAAGCATACATACTTCGTCACGCAAAAACATCTTCTCTCGCATCACGGTCATTCAAATGTTCATCCTCCTCCTTAGTCTCCTCCTGCTCCTCCGGCTGAGCTTCCTTCACCTCAGCCACTACCAAACCATCGAGCAAAGTCGTCTTAATATCATCCAGGGCCCCCCGTCCCAGAGGCTCCTCCATGCGGCCTATACACCTCAAGACTAAATCCTTACCGTTGTCAGGCCGCACACCGTAGTGGAGGATGACCTCTCCAAAATTACTGATACCAACCGCGTAGGACGTATCAGCGGCATCACGCTCTGGCCAGCCGGCTCGTCCCCTTTGCTCTGCCATACAACTTTCAGCTATAGCCCACAAGAGTATATCCTCCCAGATTAACACGCGGCTCCATATAGGGTGATAGTAGAGCTCCTGCATGAGACTGTGCTTCTTACCATCCTCCTTTAAAACGCATATCCTCAGACTAACACCAGCGATCTGACCAGCAGTCTCGCCGTCCATCTGCTGGTCAGCCAGATCCAGTACGACCCCACAGGTCTTGGCCAGAGTCTGCAATGACGTCATGCCTCCCTCAAGGACCGCCTCACTGTGGGCTTTCGATCGCAGTTTCTTGCAGAATTGCATACGAACACCGTGGTCTCTGAGACCGGCTACGAGCTCCTTAGAGTCCTCCGCCGCTGCATCGCCTCTCCATACAGATTCGACAAACGCATCACAGCGCGACACGGCCTCATTCTCATCTACTCCATTGATTTCGCTCGGTGGTTCTCTACGCTGTTCTGATGGATGCAAGCTCTCCTGCAACTTCGACCAGGGCAGCACTTCGATCTTCTCCAGCAAAGTCGCCCTGCCCACTCCCCCCTTCACCAACCTGGCTCGTTCAGCATACCTCTCCCGGGCGAACTGTGCCGTATCACCCTCAGGGTCCACTTCCTCCGCGATTGGTATAACCCGGTTGAGGTCATACTCCACATTACGAACCCACGCCATATCAAACACCAATGTCTTCCTAAGTGCATCCTTAAAACACCGCTCCCTCTTCACTTCCATGTCCTGTAGGGCGTCCATAATAATGTCCATGTGTGCTACAAATCTCTGCCGTTCAGTATTGACCTTATGAACAGCTTTCTTATAGCCTTCCTCACAGCCCGAAGCTAGTCTCGAGGACTCCGCCGCAGCTATTGCCAGTCTTAGTCTACTACTAGGGTCATGTGTAGTATCAAGGGCAAGTTCCCGCATAAGATGGTCAGCTCTCTGTGCCGCCTCGTCATACCGCAACACCGTCTCATCATGAAGTCGATACTGTTCTTGCAGAGCAGTTGACAACTTCATCCCGTCCGCCCTAATCCGCTGATAAACCTGCCCATGCTGCTTCAAGGTCCCTCTGAGTGACGGCACCACCTCCCCAGCCAAGTCGCTCGCCAACTGTCTCGACTGCTCAGCTCTATGCATAACGCTTCCTATATAACCGTCAAAGGCAGCCGAGGCCGTCGCCGATCCTGAGGGCTTGGCGTCGGCCAGGAGCACCTCTTTAGCCTTCCTGGCCAAGCGCTCCAGACTAGCCGCATAGCTCTTCTCCACATTAGCTCTCTCTTCCAACTGAAGTGTATCAACGCTGGCATGACCTCGGGACTCCCCACTCGAACTACCATTATGCGTAGCTTGTCACAAAGCCTATGACTCTGCTCTAGCTGTTCATACACACCGGGCGCGTCGTCAATGAGGAGCTCCTTGAAGTCAGTACTATCGATGACGAGATGACTGTCCTCAGCACCCACCTGTACAGGACCTGAAGAGCGCTTCATAACCTCGCGAACAGGTCTCAGCCATTCATATGGAAATTTCGAGATGAAGGATGGTCAATTTTCGTCTCCTGGAGCAGCTGTGATGGAACGCTGAGATTCCTTCCAGTCGAAATCGGTCATGGTGAGAGGCTCCCTACCTCCTTTTTCGATGTGAGATAAGTTTCAACTTTTGTTCGCGATTTAATTGACTCTTTGTCGACACAAGTGATTCGCGCTGTTACATAAGGTATACCGGAACCTCTCGAGGAACACATCCACACAACCGTGATACGACTTCATTTTTGCTCATTTTCAATTCAGCTGCCTTTAGAGAGAGCGACTTCCTTGGCAAATTTCCGGTTGCAGAAGCCCTTTAGAGAGAGCGACGTCATCAGCAAATTTCCGGTTACAGAAGCCTTTTAGAGAGAGAGACGTCATCAGCAAATTTCCGGCTGCGAAGCCCTTTAGAGAGAGCGACTTCATTAGCAAATTTCCGGTTGCAGAAGCCCTTTAGAGAGAGCGACTTCATTAGCAAATTTCCGGTTGGAGAAGCGACCAATGGTTGTCACCCGAATGACCATGAACGGCCTCGTGCCGTGCTAGTATAGACCAACGAGCTGTAGTGGTATTACTTTGCACATTCTCATCATCGGGAATTTGGTCGTCACTATTCTCAGCTATCGTGCCTGTCGTCTCTCCCTCATTTTCACCAACGTCAATATCAAATCCTGAATATTACAACAGACTAGCTCCGAGTTATGATGCAACAGTAGCAAGTTGTATTCGAAGGGGAGCAGCCTCCCACACGTTGCTTACCATCAGCTTCTACCAGGCTGCCCTGGGAGCTCACAGGAACAGCTGTTGCTACTGCTTCGGCAAGGTGCTCGTCAACCCCCTTCCCTGATTTCAAAAGGGGATCTAACCATGCACTATGTTGGCCAGTAAGATGACCCTAGTACCCCCCGGGGCCGCCTCTTTGTCGCCCACTGTGGACTCCATCACTGCCGAGCTAGAAGCGGGACCTAACAGACTCTTATGTCATACCATCCATCGGCCAATTCATACCTTCCACCCCTACGTCAGCAGGAGTACCAGCAGCCGGTGAGCCAGGCATTGGTCACGAGGTCACCAACGTTAACTAAGGTGGATGGGTTACAACTAGCCTCTGCGACCATCAATGGAAAATGCAATTCAAAACACGCGTTTTGAGCGGAGCGATGCAGACGTAGAATTTGATCCTCTCACTGTCTACACATTTTCCCTTGCAAGAATGACAGCGTTACAAGCAAGTTTGACTTTGAGAATTCAAGTATGTCACAATGAAGGTCGGCATAATGCATCTGAGAGTTACCTCATCACGGTTTATGACGAGTAAACCCAAATATCGAATACTCTGTCGCTATGGACAACTCAACTCTATGGACAGAATCACTCGCCGTAATAAGAATCAGTTGGGATAAATATAAATTACAATTGACATCTTCGTCAACGAGTCGACACTATCAAGAAAACATGCAGACCCGGGAAAATTGGAGATTCTGGGCCTCTCGAGAAAACCACCTACCCACGGCGAGCCAGGGCTTCGTTCGATGGTGGTCCTTCAACGCAACAAAAATATCGATAGAAAAACAATACAGTGAGTGGACTTGAGCGCATACTCCTCACTGTGTTGGGAAGCCAGTGAGGTAGGTATGGGCTCCAGCACCGGTTGTAAGGCCGGCTCCAGTGACAGGCGCCTGGCGAGCACTGGAGGCAGCAGAGGGCGAGGTGACTCCAGCGTGATGCATTGGAGTAGCAAAGGGATCTGACACAGGGGAGGCCAGTGTTGGGATATACGTTTGCTTGCCTCAGCTGAGCTCAGGATTTTCCTCACTAATTGTAGGAGTTTACATATGAATTCGGGTAGAAGTGTGCAGAAACGAATGAGAATTTCCTCATTTTTTCTCAGAATTTTCAAAAATGTCACCTACACATGTGGTTGACCATGTGCATATTTTCCCACACCAGAGAAGGCTGTCTCCTAAACAATCCTCCCTCCCTTCTCCCTCAGCTAGGATAGTAGCTATTACCAGTCGTCCCCAGAATCTGCTTAGGCTTAGCCCTCTTCTGTATGCGAGGAGGCAGAGCCCTTCTAGCCCTCCCAGGATGCCCAAACGCCGGGTGTGCAGTTTGGTCTGGTCGGGGAGATGCGATAGAAGACATATCACTAGATCGCGCCGTTGGCCGAGGTGGAACGACTAAAACAAGCCATAGTATTATGCGATTTCACTGCGCCACGACATTGCCAATCCCACCTGGCCCAGTATCATTAACGACCTCCCTTCCTTCTGCAGACGATGCTTCAAGACCGCCCTCTGCCGTGTGCATCTCTGTCGAAGCAGTGAGCTTGTCGTAGCTGTCAGCAGTATGAACTTGTGATGATACCGGGGAAGGAATCGGAGAACCGACAACTTGTGAATGCGCCATAGTCTTATTGGTGTTTGCCCTCGTTGACCTTTGGGGGTCGCTCGCCTCATTGGAGCTCGCCATCCCGGAATCCGTACTGTACCCCAGCGGCACGCGTGACAAGTCCTGCTCAGCAGCAGGTGGGGAATTTTGTGGCGCAGTGACGGTGTTCGGTGGGAACTCTTCCTTGGGGGGAGCGTATGAAGACTGATCGCTCATGACCGTCGTGGAGCCCGCTGTGGCAGCGGCCACACTCCCCGCGCTCTCCCGAGGTTCACCCGCGTATTCTGAAGAGCTCACATCAGCTACATCTCCATCATTATCAGAAACCGTGAGATCAGCAGAGGCTGTCGGGGCCTCTTGCAACTTAATAAAGGGAGAGGGAGGACCTGGGGAGGAGACAATACTCTACAGAATCTATTCAGAATCGTCGAATATCAGCCCGAACTTCAAAGTAAAATATGGGTGACTTCGCGTGAATATTGTTACTACCCCCAATGCTCCTCCTACTGAAGTCCTCAAGGGATTCATCGTTCAGTGGAGGCAGTCTGGCCCGGGTCTCCTCGTCCAGATGGGGCAACTTCTTAGCCGCTAAGTGCTCGATCATCTGAAGTGACAAAAAACATCGGAGAAGACACACCTGGACAGAAAACTCTGGTAAAAGTAGTCTTCTATACGCAAATCGATTGAACCCTCGAATGCTTGCTTCTACTTTTGATACGACAGTATTGGATTATACGCTCACTTTCCTCAGCTGAGGCTAAGAGTTGCCTCACTTACAAATTCGGGTAATAGTGTACTGAAACCAGTGAGAATTTCCCTAAGAATACCAACACATGTAGTTGACCATGTGCATATTCCCCCACACTGTGGTCGAGACAAGTTTCACATCACGACATGTCCCTCCGTGTTAAAAGAACGACAAAGAAATTCCAAGTGTTGTTTATAACCTGTTGACTAGAAGTCAAAAGCTCATAATCAGCCTCATCCCGCTCTGCCTTCAACTGCGACACACCAGACTCCAGAGAATTGAATTGATTCTAAAGAGGGAGAGGTATGGATGTATAAGCACCGATGTACGCCCTACTTGCGTGTCCGCTATCAAGCTCTGGAGAACGTCATTTCCGTGGCTGGCCATTTGCACTAGGTAGTTCACCTACGTCAAAGAGGCCAAATAATCCTACTTGGAGTTTCCTATGTACTACTTGTTGCATTATACTCTGAATTTGCTCAGCTCCGGCCCCTCCGGGTGCCCCTTTCCCTTGAGGAGTAGGTTGGGTCAGCTGTAGGGCCTTCCTCGACTGAACATACCTCATCAAGCAGTCCCCCTCGCGGCCCTTTGGCCCACGACTCCTCCCAAAGAGCCTTCGGGTGAGGATGAAAGTGGCAAGAATGACGAGTAAGGTCACTATCTCGGGTACTGGTGATGGGTACCCTGCAGTCTGCAGAAGCCTGTAGTGTGATGGCGCCACATAGGCATCCCAAACCTTCCCCGCTAGAACTCTGGACGTCTCGATATGGGAGCTTAGGTCAGTCATCGAGACGTTTGCCAAGGGTGATGCTCCGCTGACATTCATAGCAAATAAAACTGATCGCAGCTGCAATGCTGACAGGGCCTTACGAGGGACTCGGTCGAAGTGCTCAATCAGGCGAAATTATGATGGCAATGAAAATCTCGAAATCCACAAGCAGCGTGGCAGTCGAGGGACTCGCCGCTACTACGATCACGTTGAGATACAACTATCCGTTATGTTCGTTCTGATAGCGGAAGATATGTTCTTGCATACCTAGGCGGAAGGGTAACACCAATGCTCCATCAGACACAATGATATAATGATAGCGCCGTAAGCGTAGCATCTACGACACAAGAGGTCGCGGGATCGAATTCTATGTAAGGCCCTTTTCTCATCGCCCGTTACGGAACCCGCAAGTATGAACAAGTGGAGCGTTGCGTGGTCACAGACTAGCTTAAGGGAAAAGCGGATTGGAAATGTGTTAGATTGCCTATATGCATTACTCCTGCTGCTTTAGTTCCTTCGCTACTGCCAATGACCCTATAACTTAAGAAGCCTTCCTCAACGAAGGAGCCGCTCCTTAGGAGCGTAAGGATTTCTTAAAGTAAGGAGGCTAACGATCCTACGTAAGATCCTTAAGGAAGGAGCAGTTCCCGAGTTATAGGCCCAATAGTAGATATTGGTAGTATAAATATAAGCTAATGGGAAATATTTCAACCTGGAGCCCTGAACTATGGACAGTGATGAAACCTCTCCCCTTTTCAACGCCTATTTCACCAATAGTAACTTCTACTATTTGGACGAACGGACGAAATAGCATTAAAGACACTCTTTAGGAACTTTAAGTTCAATGTGAGCTGAAAATAAGAACTTCAATTTCAACGCAATGCCATAGGAACTTCAATTCCGTTGTTTTAGTGAAATCAGTTTCATATGTGAGAATTCCTCTTCCGACAAACGTGTTTTATAGCACAACTCAACAGGTATATGTGTTGCGAGAATCACCATGATGATAAGAGCTTATATGGAAGTTATTATATTTCAAATAGGCGCGAAAAAGGTGTAGTAGCGCCCAGTTTTCCAAAGAATCTCATAAACCTGAGAGCATGGCCGCAAAGGACAGGGAAATTTGAGAGTTACTGGTTAGCACGGCCAGCCTTAGGTAATGCTGTGATCAGGGTCTCACTATGACGTTGATAAGCCAAACGTAGCGTCATGTATAAGCATGCGGTTTATGGTACTCGCAAGACACTATTACCTGCTACTATTACCACCCTCTGTAGAGTGTATGAGAAGTCCGGTAGCGCAAACATTCAATTTCCGATGACATTCCGTCATAACATTGTATTCTGTGTACTACGCTCATCATAACTATGATTTTTACGAAGTGCAATCGCAGACATGGGGCTGTATCCTAGTCACACTCGTCGCCTCGGCGTTTTCAATTCTGGTGACGATGACGGGAGGTGGAATTTTGGGTTGTTCAGTATGCCCTAACATCGGTCATCAGCGCATTGAAGTAGCTAAGCTGGTGTTGAACACAAGTCATTTTCCATACCATAAATTCTTGAATTGACTGAGTTCACCATGGGGAGGCCATGAGCAATACAGCCTAGTGCTGGTCACCCAGAATGGGATGTGAGGAAGAGTACGAGTTATGGTATGCATTAAACAGTAGTAAGACGATGTCGTTGCCTTCCGCTGGGGGATTGCTGAACAATTTATACGCTGATTCGAGCAGTGGCTCGGAGACATCCGACTACACCACTGATGATGACAGTGAGTATACGGACACTGAGGATGAGGTACTGCTAGGGGCCACTTCACATTGCCGTTCATGACTCACATTGCTCTGTTGATACTCATGAAAACTAAAGTTTAGGGCTGAATGTGGCTGATCGATGAGGCTTCCTATGCATCATTTCACTTCCTTCAGAGCGACAATGGCGAACTGCCTGATGACGAGCCCGCGCCCCCACCACGACCTATCCGACCGTTGAATGGCAAGATACGCGTACACTGGGCCAAGTCTGATGATGGTAGTAGCATCGGGAGTGTATGGTCATTCGGATCCTTTTCATTTTAGATATGGACGTCTCGGACTTTTATGATAAGCTCGACCCTCCGGCAATGGAGTTCCCTTTCGAACTTGACGACTTCCAGAAGCGAGCTGTGCTACGGGTCTCCCAAGGAGACAGTGTTTTTGTAGCCGCACATACGAGTGCAGGGAAGACCGCTGTAGCTGAGTAAGACTGCGGGGGAAAAATACGCTTTGCGCGGATGATATACAGTAGTAGATCAAACAATATAAAAGAATAAAACAGGATGGATATGTTATTGGGAATATCATATTATCCCTTTGTAATGAGCTACATTATACTCTATACCTAATCATTAATATTAGACTATAATATTTGTTTGTAAAGGTATATATAGTAAACATTGGCATTGTTGGAATATATGTTCGCTCTCCTCAGTTGAGTTTAGAAGTTTCCTCACGACGAATTCAGGAGGAAGTAGTACACAGAAATTAATAAGAATTTCACTAAGTTTCCTCACAATTTTCATAATCTCAAATACACATGCAGTTGATCATGTACATATTTTCTCACACTGTATATTGGTGAACTCTATATGTTTATGTTAAAGTGAAGTTCCACTTCAGTTGTAGCTATTAGTAGTGAGGTATGTGATTAGCCGAGGAATGACAGCGGTGCGGGTCGAACCTGGGTCTCATGGTGGAGAGGCCGCTGTTTGCCAGATACGCAATAGCTGATGCTATAAAGCAGGGTGGTAGGGCGATATACACGTCGCCTATCAAGGCTTTGAGCAATCAGAAGTACAGGGAGTTCACGCAGAAGTTTGACTCTGTCGGCGTTGTCACTGGGGATGTCTCCATCAACCCGTTGGTGAGATAATCTTCCTTCTCCTCACGATATTGCTATCACTGTACCAGGCTAGTGTTGTTATTATGACAACGGAGATATTAAGGACGATGCTGTATAGGAAGGATGAGAGCTTGGCTAACATCAAGACTGTTATTTTCGATGAGGTGCATTTCGTCAACGATCCCGATAGAGGAGTAGTCTGGGAGGAATGTATTATTCTCATGCCAGCCGATGTGAGTAAGGTGGAAGCAGCAGCCTAGGAATGTTGGGGCTCAGGTCCCAATGGTAATGTTGTCGGCTACCGTACCAAACTATCGTGAGTTCGCGGATTGGGTGGGCCGGACCAAGCAGCGTACTGTGTATACAGTGAGCACTGCGTACAGACCAACGCCTCTGTGCCACTATCTGTGGTGGAAAGAGAAGCCGTATTTGCTTATGGACAACAAGGGAGTCTTCAATACTGCGACGTATAGGAAAATGTGAGTTGTCGTTCACAGTCTCCAGTGCGACATGTTACGAAGAGTATATTCTCTCGACGAATTTGAGTTTTCTTAATCTCATTTGAGGCTGCCAGCAGAGATACAGTGCGAATACGATGATACCACTCTTTGAGTAACTCCTGTGTTATATGATGGTACTCGTTTGCGAGGAAACTTTTCGTTCTTTTCACGTGCCCGAGAAAGAATCAATGGGAATTTTCTGTGGTCAGATACGATGAGATGAGAGCATCTGAGGCCCCAGCGCCGAATACTAAGCAGACTGTTGGGAAGGGCAAGGGCAAGGGCAAGGGCAAAGGAAAGGGCAAGGGTGTTCACCGAGCGCCAGCACCAAAGCAGCCCCTGACGGGAGAGTCCAAGATCAGACTGGAAACTCAGAAGCTGCAGGGTATGATTAAAGCCTTGGAAACTGAAGACAAGCTACCTGCAACGGTTTTCGTATTCTCGCGAGTGCGGTGCGAAAGATACGCGATGGGAATGCCGCATCTCGATTTGCTTAGTGGCAGCGCTGAGCGATCGAAAGTGCACGTGTTTTTGAAGGAGTCCTTTTCCAAGTTGGACGAGTCCGACCGAGATCTGCCCCAGATACAAGCAGTGACCGACTTGGCCCTAAGGGGCATCGGAGTGCATCATGGAGGGCTGCTGCCTATTGTGAAGGAAGCTGTGGAGATCCTGTTCTCTCGTGGTCACATAAAGGTGCTTTTTGCTACTGAGACATTTGCAATGGGCGTGAACATGCCAGCTAGATCGGTTATTTTCTCATCGATACGCAAACACGATGGGTCGAAGTTTCGGTATCTGCTGCCAACAGAGTATACGCAGATGTCGGGCCGGGCGGGGAGGAGGGGCCTTGACAGTGTTGGGAATGTGTATGTACTGGCTGCTGAAGAGCTGCCGGATCTGAAAGCTTTGACTACGACGATGACCAGCAAGCACACTCCTCTACAGAGCCAGTTCAAGTTGACTTTCCAGATGCTACTGCAAATGGCAAAGTTGACACATTGGAAAGCGGAGGATTTGATGAGCAGATCGTACCTGGAGAATGCAAGGGCGATGCAGTTACCTACAGCGAAGAGAGATCTACAGAGGTTAAAGAAGAGGCAGGCGGATTTGCCCAAGCTGGAATGCGTGTTAGGGGAGGAGGATATGCATAGATACGCCAAGTTGGAATTGAAGTCCCGGCATATGACCAGCGACTTGTACGGTAAACTCTTTAACACTGATCATAAAAAGGTATTCTGCCGAGGGCGGCTGGTCATGGTGTGGAGTTTGCCGAACATAAGGGTGTCGTCTCCAGCGGTGATACTGGAAGCGAGCCCACCATCTATGAGCACCTCAGTGATGGCTACCGTAGATGTGTTGGTGGTGTTGAGGAGGCCCGTCCCTGAAAGCAGCCCGGCTGGTGATAATGGTTACACTGTGAGGATCAAAAATCTGCCGGTGAAGTCAGGCCTGCTCTTGGTCACTGATCATTGCCTTCCTCATGGGGTTGACTTTTCTGATGCGTTCGGTCTGGCTAGAGAGCTCCGACGATGCGAAGAGGCAGGGCAGTTCGATGAGCCTTTGGAGCTTGGGAAAAATCTGAAGCAGATTCAAACGGAGTATTTTGATACGCTGATTGGCGTTAAAGATCTCACTATGACCAAGATGCACAGTAAATGCCATCGCTGCCATCTGCGGCAGGAGCATTTCGATTTAGTGGTAGAGGAGGGGGAGATTACGCACGACATTGAGGACCTTGAGTTCAAGATTGATGATTCTTCATTGTATCTGGCATCAGCTCGAGAGAGGATGCTGAGAGTGCTCATGGACTTGGACGAGCTTGATAAGAATACTATGCAGATAACGTTGAAGGGAAGGGCGGCTAGTGAGCTGGTGTTGGGTGATGAACTCACTCTCACTGAGCTTCTGTTCTGCAATGAGCTCGGCGATGCTGATGTGCCCTCCTGTGTGGCACTGGTCTGTTGCTTTGCGTGCGACTCGGGCGTGTCGCAGATGTCGCATGAGGCGGCTGAGGTCCTCCTACCTCCAGAAACGGTGAAGCTACTGGAGAGAGCAATGGAGATGCACGGCAAAGTGGCGGATGTGTTGACCAAAGAAAGGGTGGAGACAGACTGGACTGAATTTGACAAGCAGTTATGTCTCGGCATAGCCCCACTGGCTCATGCCTGGGCTAGAGGGGTGCCCTTTGCTGAACTGATGACCGCCGAGCCGATCTCGAGCAAGGACGATGAAGAAGTCTATTACTCTCTGTGGAAACCAGGTGACAAACCGCTACAAGAAGGAGCTGTGGTTAGGAGTATTCAAAGGTGCGACGAGTTGTTCAGACGCTTGGGGAAGGCCGCTGAGGTCATGGGCTCCACGGAAGTGGTGAATAAAGTAGAGCAGTGCCGAGAGGCTATACGTAGGGATATAGTCTTTGCGTTGAGCCTCTACCTAGACCGAGATGTAGAAAAGCAGCAGTCAAAGCAAGCAGTGGAGGAGGGCGAAGGAAGCGTTCCCGTTGATACAGTATCATAGTGTGTTTCATAACAATACTTAAAAGTGTTTAGTTCCATTACATCATCTATCTGGTGAAGTCCGCCGAGATGTTGTTGTATCTGTTGCGTGAATCCAATTTCGGTGTATGGTCTGCTGTAAAGGGTGTTTCAAAACGACGTGGTTTAGGAATTCCAGGTTCTCCAAGTTGTCCACGAAGTTTTGAAACACCCTTTACTATCGAAGGTGGACATGCCTATATAGTTCTTACGGTATCGTCGTCATTGATGATGTTGATCATAGGTTACTCAATTGCCAGAAGCTTTCGGGCATTCTCCACTTTGTTGGCTTTGTTGAGAAGCACGTAGATGATGATGCTTTAACGAGGAGCTTATTGTTCATTTTATATTCTCAAATTCGTTCGATAGTTTACGGACCACATTGTCGAGGATCATATAAGGTTCATGACTCGCCTTGCTATGACGAAGGTTTGGCAAGCTTTGGGGGAATCCGAATGTACCGGAAATGGCGACAAAACATCAAGAGGGGTGTGAGGATCAGTTCGCAGGGATCTTTGCCAACAACCGAGTTGAATAATAGTTTCTAACGGATTTGTGTATCACAACAGACCCCTCCTCTTTATATGTAGTCAGTCGGTCGCAGCTGTGGGGAACTTCATGCTTCCCTTCTTGAAATAGTGTTCTAGTTGGTGTTTGTATCTGCTGCATCGTACCCAGCTGGATGATAGCCTACTCTTTGCAAGCTCCGACGCGATGTCTAGTGGCAGGTAGATCCCGAAGTGCACGGTGGCAATGCTAACTTTGTTGTCGTATTTCTTCCACTGGCTTCATCGCACAGTGATAGTGCGAGTCTGAGAGTATCTTGGTCGGGCTATGCAGCTCAGTTCGAGAAATTCTGATTACAGTGTTGCTAGAAAATGAGAGTACCGCGGGGTTGGCCAAGATGCAAATTCTTGGCGCGAGAAGACAACTCCCAACGACAGAAAATTATACAAGTTCTAATTCTCTCTCCATCGCCTGTTTTCATCGTGTAACCTGTTTCTGGTACCTTATTGATTTAGTGTTTGTCAATTTCGAATCCCCTCGAGTGGTTCAGCTCTCCATCTCACCACATAGTTGGGAATGACAGATGTCTTCCGGTCTCAGCCGGTGTCTGCGCCACCGATGAGGTCATCGCAAGGACTAGCTCCCATACAGCAAGGCAAACCTCCTATAGTGCTTGAGGAGGAGGTGCCGTCCCCAACTGCCGTGCCTCTAGTCGGGAGTTGTCTCCATCAGGTTGACGAAAATTATGAACCTACACAGGAGGAGATCCTCGAGTACGCCGAGTGGATCGGCATGGACGTTGCTGTAGACAAAGACCTTTTCTGGATCGCGAAAGAGGGTATAATCGTCGTTCAATTTTGAGGCGAAGCGAAGCTTCTTCTGTTGGAAGGTTTGAAGGCACCTCTGCCGGCCCCTTGGAAGCCCTGCCAGACTGGGGAAGGGGATATATTCTACTTCAACTTTGAGACTGGACAGAGCGTCTGGGACCACCCATGTGATGAATATTATAAGAAGCTCTTCAACGACCGCAAGCAGAGGAAGGTCACCAGTGGTGGGTTGAGGCCGTCTCTTCTTCGGAAGCACCCTCCATCTTAGATGAACGGAAGATTGACGGCAATGAGCAAGCAACGACCGGTAAGAAAAAGAAGCACAGGGAGTCCAGTGTTGGTGGAGAAGGGGTAAGTGCTGAGCTGAATTGCAACAGAAATCGGTCTGTTTAGACTATTGGATTATCCTCGCCATCGCTGCCTCTCGGTAGTGGTATGAAGCCTCGTGTCGTTCCGCCACTACTGCCTGGTCTTGGAGAGCTCAAAAGGCCCTCACTGGACCTCCCCACGGCCCGGGATGCTATTGGAAGGTTGGACGCAGTTTTTACACATGCTCAATCACATACGTTGGTGTCAAGAAAATCTGAGGATTTTTTTGGGGAATTCTCATTTGATTACATTTCTATCTCGACTCCTATTATCAGTGAAGAAACCAAACATACATGCCAACACTTGTTGGACAAGATGCCCCACTTTATAACAACTCCGATCGATCAGGTCACCACCCTTCACACACGACTTGGATCATGCTAGAGAGGTGTCCAATATGCACGCTGAGAATGGTAGAGAGCTCGCCGCGCTCGAGGGAAAACATGCTGCTGCTGTGGCTGCGATGAAAGCGGATCAGGAGAGGGTAAGGTCTCCGATGGGAGGTAGGATTGTAGTTTCAGATTTGTATCAGATTGTGGACAATACAAGAGTAGAGTTTAATCGGCTTGTGTCGCAATTGAGGGAAACTCACGAGAAGGAAAAGAAGAAACTACTGATGGACTTTGAAAGCGAGATGCGCTCAGAGAAGAAGAGGCTGGAGGAGCAGCTCGGGAGGGAGAGGGCGCGGCTGGAGCAGGCGAGTTGCTTTTGTGTGGCAGTGTTGCAACTCATCGTAGTCGTCCAGGAGCTACGCAGAGCTGTCGAAGAGGAAGTGGAGGGGCAGCGAGAGAGTCTGATGAAAGCAGCCCAGGAGCGGATGGAGAGAGAGGTGCTCGAGAATGAACGGTGGGGACGAATGCAGTGCAGTTAAAGACAGTGTGTATTTTCATCATGCAGATCCTGCCGGGAGGCGGAGCTATCTGTTATCAACGGCGATCATGCCAAGGAGATAGAGCGGCTGGTGGAAGAACACTGCACGGCGGTTCGTAAACTACGACAGCAGCAGGAAGGAGAGATTCAACGTATCAGGACAGAGCATCAGCGTGTGAGACCCATGGTGTCGTGGGGCTCACGGTGGCCCAAGAATGGGAAGAATGTATCATTCTCCCTATCCCCGGGAATTGAACAACATTCTCCCCAGATGGCCCACCTTGGTTGGGATCACTACTGGCCTCCTATCAGGTGCTCAGTGGAGTACAAGCGGACGAGGAACGACAGCATACGTCAACTGCGGGGGAGGTGGGCGATCGGGGCCTTTGGTAAGCAACGTATTTTCATTCAGGAAGTGGATCGTCGAGATATCGAATCTCGCATAGAGCGGGAAATTCGACCTGAGATGGAGCGACGCCTTCGATTGGAAATGGCATGCAAAGTTGAAGCGGAGGTTCGGCCGATGATTGAGCGAGATGTGCGCCAGGAGGTGGAGGAGGCGAATGCCTGTCGGAGAGAGGAAATCGAGCATGAACTAAGGCACGAAATCGAGTTGGAACTGAAGCAAAGTGGGGATGTTATTGAGGCGGTAAGACAAGACCTTCGCTGTGAACTTCGTGGTCCAATAGAAGAGGAGCTCCGTGCAGCTCTAGAAGCGCAGCTGAGAGAAGATATACGGCGAGAGCTCGAGAGTGAGATGAAGTCGTTGAGGACGGAGTTTGAGAAGGAGGTCCAAGCCACTGTGGGAGAGGGGGCGCTCTCTTTGCGAGGAAGTTCGGTCCTTCTGGATCTGCCCGACCTGTCCGCGATAAGCAATTATGAAGGGCAGAGAGAGTCTCGCGTGAGTGGGGATTTTGAGGGGATACTTCGAATCCTGGGGGAAAGGCAAAGGCAACTCGAGACGCGCGAAAATGATGCCGCAGAGGCGCTGTCTGAGAAGGAGGAGAGGATTGCTGCAGCGCTACGACGGCTTCATGAGACTCGAGAGCAGCTCATATTGACCGAGGCTGATGCCACTGAGAAGGGGCATGAGATAGCGAGATTGAGACGTGAGCTGAGCAGTCGGGAGAAGATGACGACAGCACTGAGGGACCAGGTTGCGTTGTTGGAGGCTGAGGTGGAGACCGAGAAGCGGAATGCTCAAGCGAGCGGGTCGGAAGCTATGCGAGAGGTGAGAAGACGCCAAAGGCTTTTGGATGAACGGGAGACTGAGTTGGAGGTGAAGGAGATCAGGCAAGGCGAGGTCATGGCTCACCTGAGGGCCAGAGAGGCAGCTTTGATGACTGAGAAGAAGCGGCTCCAAGATGATGCGAATAAGCTGGAGGCTGAGGCGGCGGAGATCGCAACAATGCAGCGGACGTTGAAGAGTATAACTCATGAAGTTAAGCACGCACAGGAGATTTACTCGCCACCAGGGGTAAGGGAACCTCCGATGACCTCGAGACCGGCTACTGATGAAGTTATTATGACGGAGCTGGGTGAAATCAAATCGGCCATAGTTCAGTTGTCAGCTCGGGGCGCTAGACCGTTCGGAACACGCAACAGTTCCTCACACATGCGCTCGGACAAGGCGACCGATAGCGACACTGCTCCGGAAAGTTGCAAGGAGAAAGAGGATGGGTTCATCCATTGGTTATGCGCTGAGAGAGAGGCAATAGGAGCTGCTAAGAAGCGAGTTGCTGCAGAGCATGCTATGTGCAGGGCGGAGAGATCTCGACTTGAGATGGAGAGGCAAATATGGAGGGATCGAATGAGAGAGGCGAAGCGTAACGGAGACCACAGGGCTAAGGGGGAGCTGATGCGAGCCAAGTCGGCACTGGATGCTCGAGCAGCGGAGTACAACGTGTCTGTTGCGGAGTCCCAGGTGGAGTCGGGCAAACTGGAGGAGAGGGAGCGAGCGCTGGAGAAGTATTCGGCCTCTCGCATGTACAGAGAGAAGCGGCTGAATCAGAACAGACACTATTGGGGAAAAATTCCGCCACCGTTGCCTTTCCGCTCTGAATGAGCAGAGTACAGTATACCACAATTGAAGCATTAATAGCATTATAATTCTAATACATGCGTTTATTATTGGGGAGAGTCCATATAGGGTCTCAACATTCGGAAGTACATCTTACTTGAGTTTTAGTGGTGATGTGATAGTATGATACTGTTAGTACCCCATTCTGGTAGCTAACTCGTTACACTAACTCAACTCTGCAATACGACTGAGTATCTGCTCACTACGATTGGACGAAGGAGAATCGTGTCGGTAATAGTCGATCCTGAGTACGCCATGGAAGGGCGACTATGTGTCATGGATCATGACTCATGACCATGAGCGCAAGGCTTCGGTGTCTCTATTCATTTCGCGTCTCTGGTATTCTGTAGTAGATGGAGACGCTGCGGCAATGTCGCGTCACGAAATTTGCGATCTGGGCAACTGGTTTTTTACTATCCACTGCGCGCCATGAAAGCACTAGGAAAGTTTCCTACGACGGTGGTAACAAACTGCAGCGTTTCCACCACCTCGAGTTCACATGACCGAGACAGTTGCCCATTGCAACAACTTGCTAACAAGACGGTGATAGGTTTGGCAGCAAATATTTTTCAGGGACTTCTACAATACCAAGATATCATATATCATTTAACTCCGCGGTAGTATAGAGGTTAGTATTCCTGCCTGTCACGCAGGAGACCCGAGTTCAATTCTCGGCCGTGGAACACTTTTTCAGATTCATGTATTTTTTCGTGCCAACTGTACGGGTACCTGGGAACTACCTCGCGAGCGCTGGCATATGTTATTCACCAGTTCCCCAAAACAAAACCGACTCTCTTTCCATCGTTGGCGCTACCCTTATCCATAAACCTCACAATTTGTACGGGGTATGTGAGCGTGTGCATTTTCAGCCCAATTCGTCGTGTATCCATTCGCCCAGTCGCAGTTAAGTCAGATAGTCCAGAGCAGACGAGAATGATGTGCTAATAACCGCGAGATTGCCGGCTTCCCATTCATGAACAGTATGCAAAGGACCACTGCAGCCACTAAGACTGATCACCAGACTGGTGACACCAGTGGGCATTGCACACTGCGCAGTGGAACCACAACCCGAATTGTTGTGAATAGGTAGGCAGCCCAATCTCAGAATGACATTCTCCGCTGTAGAACCATAACAAGCAAGGCAAACAAGTCCACCGGTAGTAACATCATTCATAATGCATGACACAATGGACGTCAACGAATTCTGCGTATCTCGGTCTGTTGCTTCGTCAGCAGGCTAACCATCGTGCCTTCAATAACGTTGACCATGAACGTCTCATCTGAAGAGCGAAATCCACCACTAAGTCACCACCGTGCAGCGCATCACCCCCCAAGTCAATAATAGTGTTCGGGATACCGCCCCGCTGAGCCTCATCAGCAATTTCAGCTGCTGTGGGGGGTAGAGGCAGCCAATCTCCCGACGCGTCCTTCCACTCCCAGGCACCAACGGGTTCTGAGCATGAGAGGGATGAGATTAATGCCAGCAGTGTCGTCTCACTTCCGATTAGCGAAACACCAGGCGTGTTCCCGATTGCTGAGGGTCTGAACAAGCATAACATCACAATAAAGAAAAGTTATGAATACTGCCGGTGGAAAATATTCGGATCGCATTAGCCACGGAGCGTGAAAAGACTTCGTTGCAGAATAGATGAGACGGAGAAATCTGAAGCGAACAAGCCTGGGACCCACCTGGGTAGCAAGCTCGTGCGTTGGGGTTCAGCCGGAACCTGAGATCGGAGAATGGGATCGATTCTTGCTCTTGGATCCCTACTGATGCTCCTACTACGTGAACTAGGGATGCGTTATTGTTGTTGGGTGAATTACCATCATAACCAGGCGGACTAAGAAGCCAATTCGTCCTCTCGTTCCTGTACTCATCGGTTTAGACTCGAAATGCAGCACTCCATCACCATTCCCGGACGTGCGAGACACCGGTATTTTGCTGCAGCAACATGCCTTACCTAATCCAGTGGTTCGTGTCGCAGTGGTCCAGTACGGGATCTGCAGACTTCCAAGTGATGAACAGTGTACACGTTGAGTAAATGTAGCTCACATTCTCCGGCAACAAACTCGGTTTCGGCAGCACTTTCAGCATAGTTGGTGATGGCCTCGTTGAAATTGCCTTGCAGAGCTTGAGTCTGTGCACGTTGCAGAATACTCTGAGATCGACACCCAGCTCCCGAGATTCTCCACCGAGTCAGTAGCTGCTAACTGCTCGTGAGATTTCAGTAGCCGGCTTAAGATTTTCTGGGTTGAGGCTTTCAGGAAGACCCCTGTAAGCTGGATTGGTCATATGGTATCTATCACCAGGCTTCGAACCTTCGAAACAAAGAAGCGCCGCCCACTTGCTCCTTCTCGCCCATAGATACTGTACAGTGTAATAGTCAGGAGCTCTCTCGTAGGCGCGGTGAAGTGAGGCCTTGGACTGTTGGCAGAGACAAGTACAACAGAGGTACCTCATGCTCAGCCGGATCGCTTTACTCGTTGCGATACAACTCACCTTAAGACCCTCAAGGGAAGCACGAAAATGGTGCAGCTGAAAAATATGAGCATTCCCATCTGAGTTCTGAATGAAGCCAACCGCCGCTCTGCCACAGACGGGCGAATAAAGATGAGGCCCATCACAGCGAGCAACTGAGTTCCAGGTTCGTAAAGACTGTATGGAAGGTTCCTCTGAGCTCACCACCGAGGATAACTCCACCAACAACATGGCCTGCTTAGCTAACTTGGCAGACTGGGTGTACGGCCGTTTACATTTGCGTAAGAGTAAGTACCTCGTTACCATACTCGTAATTCACCGAGATGATAGCAGACAAGGACGGAGAGATTGGACACATCTTTGCTCACTTGGTGCTGTAATACTGCAAGGTAAGGCCGAGAGCTACCAAAGGTAGGAGCACGGGAACTATTGGAGCAAATGTGATGCCCAGAAAGTAGGTCTTCATCGCGTATGCATATCTGAGTTACGACTATCGCCATGTTCTCATGTGTTCTTTCAACCTCAATGCCATGTCCATATCGGACCCCTCATGAAGCTTGTTGTATCTGATGTCCCGTAGTTACTCTCATCGCAATGCTAGCTTCCCCATGTTACTTTTCTTGTCTCAGTTTGCTCTTTTCTAGGTCGATTTTTTTGATAACATTTTTGCGGATGATTCCACCGAGGTCGAGAAACGCCATTGCAGGCGGGAGGATCTGCGCCCAATTAGAGCGTGGCTAGTTACGCAGTGAGATACATATCTCAATCTCGGTGTGCACAGCATGCGTTGTGGATCGAGGACACTAATAACGAGTGCTTCAAAATGATATCAAAGGATCCACTCAGGACTTCGAATTAGAGTTATTCACGGAAATATGCATCGTCGCAGAGTCAGTCGATGCCGGGCGAAAGTCGAATTTTGAGCTCCCTTGAAGGGTATCAGTTGAATGCGCTTTGATTACAGAATTAACTAGGATGGTCATGAAAACATCAGGGACCAGGCCTCCAGCTCTATACCAATGAATAGGATCAGCATTCACAGCATAGAGCACAACCGCGGTGTTCATCACATAGGCGAAGCTCAGCTTCGTCATTATGCTACCTGGGACTCAGGTGGGACAAACTGAAGCCGGGTGCAGGGGACTCACTGTCTTTAGCTGAGACTGTGAAATGGCGTTCATGAATAACACTTTTATACGCCAACTTGGTGATGAGCCAGTTAAGGAAGGCAATCGTTAGAGCTGGGAGGAGGGACCTTGGGACAAGGCAGCACTTGTACGGTATGAGTACCGAAGAGTTATTGTTGCAATTAAATACCTCACTATTAGTATTATTGTAAATTTTTTTGACCTTGAGATACTCGAAGGCTGGTCAAGGTCTCATGTTTTTCATGACATGCTACCCGTATTGTTTTCACAAGTTTTCTTATAGACCCCGAGCCGTTCTAAATAGTTCTATGCAGACTTGTGAGTTTCCTGTCGAGTATGCATGTAGCCCAGTTGGCAACGGATACCAACGATGGTCTCATCCCGAACACTTTGCGGTCATTGAACTGCCCATCGTAAACCCACTGCCTCACAATATAGCCGAACCACCGTCTTCTGCTATTCCCTCTTGAAGCTTCTGTAACCCGAAGCATGCCAGACCACAGGCAGCTATCATAACAGATATGAATGCCTGAAAATGGTGGCCGTATGAAAGGCAATCAGACACATAGCCAGCCTCACCAAAGTGGTGAACTGAGCTGTCCGCCGCTCTTGCGATGTGACACCAAGGTTCTCCCACTGAAAATCAGTCGGGTTTGGAGCCCTTTTGACCTTCAGTCGGCTGAGAGTTGATAATCTGCGCTCCTAAACAATCATACCCCTTACCAGCCTCTGAACCGCGGAGTACTATCGAGGCAGGTACAGTCCAGGCCGATACCCATCAACTGTGGGAAGAAGTGTGGTATTAGAAAATATAGAGGTTACCATATTTATAAGTCGGCGGCTTAGGCCATTCCAGTAGCGTAAACAGGCACGGTGGTCCTTCTGATATCTGAAACCCCACCCCACCTCGCCGATGGGGCATAATGATCTGAGTTGATACCTGAAAATAACTACGGCGTGACCTGATGACTGTATCTTAGCCGCCCTGTCAGGAGCAACACTGGCGAGGGCCTCCTTCGCGGCCAACACCTCAGCCTGAGAGAGTGCCTTGAATGGAGTTTCGAGACGATGTTTTAACCTGGAGGTGCGGGTTGCCTGGATCCTGGGAAAGATTCATTTCAGCACGCTTCTTCTGTTTCACAGCAGCGAACAGTTGTGTTATTTCGAAGCAAACTAACGCTTTGACAACCTGTATGACGCTTATTGTACGACGCGGCTAAGATCTGTTCTCACATCCACTTCTTTATCTCGAACCGCGTTTCTGTGAAAGAAGTCGGAAATCTCGGCTTCGTCGGTTGCATTGTGTGGGAGTCCCGATACGAAAATGGCATAGTCGTTGGGATGGTCTGAGCCCATGCACTGTAGTAGTGCTAGAAAATATGCACATAGTCAACTACGTGTACGTGTTGGTGACAACATGGAAATTCGGAAGAGATTTAGGCAAGTTGTCATTGGTTTCTGGACCAGAACGCCTTAAGCTCAGCTTAGAGAAACGAACATATACTTCCACACTGCACTGGGGAATGCCTAAAAGGCCCCTGACTAACCTGTAAGAGCGTCACATGTCGACTCAAGAATCCTAATCCTTCGAGAGTAATGCACCTATGAGAATCACTACAGTTTACACAATCTACCGAAGCCTACTGAAAATGCCATCGTCAATAACACCATGAGGGTTATTGCTAGGCTCCTGAATGAGATCGCTTGAACAAATAGAATACACATGTTAGCATTGGTACGGGATACCCAGGATTAACTTGCTTACAACTCAGGGCCTTCGTTACCGTAGTAACCATGATTCCCAGGAGTGAGCCAGGAGGAAGATATCTAGGGTCACGGCTCGCCTGCTGTGAACCAACCCAACTTCACCTTGGGTTGCCCTATAGGTATCATGAGGTCCATCGAGTCCGCATTGGCGTTCGACACTAACATGATGATGGATATCTGTGAACCGGTCGTTGGCCGACCCACTAGGCCCGAGGGGCTCACCAGAAAGAGCATCACGATCAGGTTCCGGAGCGCCCTAAATGAATAACAAGAGGAATCATAGAGAATCGAGTGAGCGCGTACTTCATAAAATCGAAGTAAACGGGGAAACCCGCGCCCAGCTCTGCTAAAGTGATAGGCCGGCACCCCAAAGGGAACTGCTCGCATTGACACAAGAAGTCCTCTAGCTACAATGAAGAAAATGGCCAAGACTAATAGGCCAGCTGATCGGACCTTGAATCGGTCAGAGGCTATCTCTCCAGAAGCAAACTTGGCTTGGATTTCCTTCATTTTACCAGCTACTTGTCGCACCTGAGCAACATGCTACTGCAATGCTTTGCCAAGACGGACTTTTGTCGCTTCTCCATGTTTGACCGCTACAGTCTTGTCTAGCGTCATTTCAAGAGATGTAACTTGATGGTCGATCTCATCCCAGAAATAACCTCTCAGACCGTCAGGCTCAACGGCACGATGTCCTCTACCTCAGCGTATCGGGTTAGTTCTACTCTACTCTCAGTCTGTAAGATACTGACAATACAATAATTAATCTATTTCAACCCATTGTTCAGTAGTTTCCTCTGTGTGCGTTATTCATAGCTTTCATTGTATCCTTCTCTGACCATTGGATACTTATAACCGTCACGAAGCATGCTGGACAACCCCGAGATTGATTAGGGCTCATCATTATCATTATTCCCTAATCATCTGGTTTTGAGTTGGCCTACGTTGACACCGGTGGATCTAACAGTCCTCGTTTGAAAACGGAAACGCTAAGGGACTAAATTATCACGTGTATACAGAAGCTATGACATTGAACAAGTACTATACACAAGACGAACGTTGTGGTAATAGCCTAGTCAGTTCACTATCGCTCTTATGAACGGCGAATGAGGCTTGGGAATTCGAATCAGGCGAAGCTGATTTGGTTAACAAATTTTGGTAGACAAGCATGAGTCTAATGAGAGTTCGTCAGCCAGGGGTAGCTTACATGGAGAGGTACTTGTATCTGAACTCAATCTTACTATCAACTTTCTAGTAGATGTTGGGAAATATGCACATGGTCAACTACATGCACGATCTCGCCTCAGTAGATTGGCTTCATAGTGAAGGAGACAGAGCAGATAGAAAAGTGAAAGTAGTCGAGAGAATGCAATGATAATGCTAAGCTAGTGTGAGCAAAGCTCGATCGTGTAATGTGGACAGTGCAGATATTTCTGTTGGTGACAATATGAAAATTCTGAGAAAATTTTGGGAGATTCTCATTGGTTTCTGTACACTTCTACCCGAATGCTCGTGCAAACTCCTTTGAAACTCTAGTAAACTTCTAAGCTGGGCTGAGGAGAGCAAACACTGAGTGAATCAACGCAAACCTCCCATGAATTGAGTCCGGTACGGACAGAGTGTATTTCTTTCCATCTCACATACTTAGTATGCACTAAAGCGCGCATTTAACCTTGGAGTGTTATAAGTGTTTTAGGTGAGGAATGCCGCGTATCTCACATTAGCTCTCTCTAAGTGTAAACGGTTAACTCCACAAGACACTAGTCTGCCCTTTATCATGACGTGACTGCCAGCGAATGCTCGGAAGGCTGCTCGGCGCCGCATTAGATCGGCGATCTCCTTCCTAGTTCTTTTCGAGTGGAAACCCTAGCAAAGAAGTACGACCAGTGATAAGGCTGAAGCTTGTCCCACCCTCTTATGTTGGACACGTGTTCTTAGCGGTGCTTCGTCGACTGGAAGCATTTCAACATCACTTTTGTTGTCGGGACCGTGCATGTGCGTGGCTCTGAAATCCGAGGGATAACCTCACATGGTCATCAAATGATAACAAATAACTTTTTCCATGTGTGCAACTTTTCAAAGAAAGCTATATGGGCAGAACGACTCACCTAGCTCGCTTCGATAAGCAGCGGTCGAAAAGAAACATATAACTGAGTGAAGGGACCGCTTGCTACCCATGATTGATAACACCATCCGGGTGGTAAACGACTTGGAAACTCATATGAATGATTGAGCATCAAAATAATAGTGTAACGGTTAGTGATCGATAATGATTCTACATATTGATATATTGCTTACTTATAGACCTCGAAATGTTCGGGTTTCCTAGTCGTCGAATTAGCCAAGTTACAACATTTTTTCGCTTCGGACTATCAAAATCGAACACATTGTATATCAGTAAGTTATAACGTATCCATATAACATCTATTAATACCTGATAAATATATTTATATGCATATCATTTAGTTATCATTATATTTACTATTTATATCGGAGCAGTCCATTGTGAGCTGAGCCTCACACAGCGTGGGAGAATATTTCCCCTCATATGCTCAGTAACAGTCCTGTATGATCTAGTGCTGAGAACTGGTCAAACGAGAGCTCGAAAGCGATACATGTTGCCACTAGTGGCTGTTATGGCCACTACATCTGCTATCTACCCCCGTGTGAAAGTCTCTAAGCCGGAGTTTGTCTCGCTCTTACGTACCGATTTAACACTCCCGTGCACTAGGATCGAATCGAATACCAATTGACTGCGAAACAATCAAAAGAAGAGGAAGGAAGCGGGGAAGTTATGACCAATCCTTCTTTTTCTTCGTCAAGTGTGACACTACCAACAGCACCTTGGGCGCAACCACCGTTAGGATAAGCAAATATCAGATAGTACTAGTGCTTATGATCATCATAATGGACATCGATGATACCGTAACATACAGAGAATAGCCTTCCTGGGCTTCAATACAGAAGTTAGCATCATCATCATTATAGCTCTACCGCATAGATTCGGCATGAACGACAGACAAGCATCACCGAGAATATGCCAACGATAGTAGTTATATCAACAATAACTACTACTAGTACCGTAACCAGCATTCCTCCACTATGCAATAATAAGAGCGACACTGAAAGCATCACCGTAGTACGAAACGGAAAAAACGAAATGAAGACGAAGAACAACAGCGAAAGGATACAACTGGAACTTCAACAACAACAATGATACGTAGTTTTTTCTCTTTCGTACAGCTTCACGAACTGCCCAATATCCTCACCACAAAAGCAGCGACTCTCGACACACTTCTCCAAAGAGGCAACAGTAGTGAATATAAGAACTAACTCCACTGCTGTACAGCAACTCTTATACCATCATCAGGGCTATGATGTAGACTTCATGTACTGTCGAGACTCTGTCTCATTAATCAGCAACTTGTAGGGTAGAAAACCAATGAGGCTTCTCGGAAAAAGCAGGATAATGAACATGTACAACTTATAACACCGATGTCCTATGAATCGAAAATCGTAAAATCTGTTGTCGAATCAGACTCGACAGTATTTCCGCAAGGCGAAAGCAGCAGAGGCAGAAAATACCGTAGCACTACTATTACTACTACTACCATCACTGAAACTCTTATACTTGCCATAGATCGCCGCGAATTGAGGGCAGATGATCTCAATACCCGACAGATGATACAAAATATATGCCGACAAAGAAGAAAGCTGCCCCAACAGAGTAAATATACAGTAGCACGGGCGTAGCAAGCAGCATTAGTAATAGTAGGAGAAGAGGACGACTTAGCCGATAGCAGCTAGAATATCGTAAAAGGCAAAATTTCCAGAAAGCCAATAAGGCAAACGTTCACCATCATACATGACGGTTCTTCGAGTAAAAAGTGGCTGGCCGAGATGATGACAGTGATAGAGAATCTTCTTTCTATTCAATGCTGCTGCTGTTGCCGCCGCCTTGGACGCCGCCGAGCTTGACAACTCGTCGAATTATGAATATAATATTACCACATTCTTATCGCTGTGCAGTGTTCACAACGAATACCGTCTACGTAAAGTCACAGGGGGAAGACCATCGTCAACAACCTGAAATGTAACAAAAATTTTCCCGCAATTGATTTCTGTCAGTACTACTACCCCTTTCCTTGTCCGTGTATACCTGTACTTGACAGTTTTCTGTAAATCTGTCCGCCCGATGCCACCCAGAGAACTCTTAGGCAATGTTGGCGTGTCATAACTGAAAGCTCTTTACACGATGAATGATACCGTAACTAGCGTTCCTACCCAGCAAAGCTGCCACTACTCCCGGGGGTCGCTGTCGTCGTCGCTGTTCTCCCTGAATTACCCCCAATGGGCCCGTAAGAGTAGCTCTTAGTGAGCCAAGGATACGCCTTAGAAAGAGGTACGTGGACCTGGAAATTATCACAGTAAAACGTCCGGCTTAGTCTCAAGTATGACTACATGTGCCCTTTCGAGGTCGTTCTTGTTGACACCGACACAGATCAGTTTGCCACCTTTCTGCACATGCTTCCCCGTGAGCCGTCGTTGGTCAGCTAGTCTTGCCATCGACTTGAATATATCACGCATCTCTCTAGAGCTCATGCGCATCTGAAGATACGCGCGAGTTCAAGCGCCTCCCAGGTAACGCGTGACACTCTAGATTGTCCATCGTTGCTTAGATTTATCAATTCCAAGTCTCCCAGCAATCGATCTATGAGCGGCCCATGGACTTCCTTACTACCTCGGGATGAGTTCGTGACGTAACCGCAGGTAACAAGTCCCCAGAAGGCACCTTAGACCCCGCTGCCGATCGATACTGGCAGCCTTCGACGTTATTCGCCTACATAATGAACAACCGTAAAAGGCAGGTCACAGGCGTCGATCGCGGTAGTAGTACTAGCCGATGTGGAGAGAAAGAGTCCGGCAAACCTCTGCCTCGTCTTGAGTCGTATACGGTCCTGATCGGCCCCTTAGTCGAAGGATCCACTGCAAGAGGCTGCGCGTCTCTATGGCTGCTGCCAGATCCGTACTAACACCGCAACATGTGCACCAGAGCGGATCTGCAGCCCAACTACATAATCGTTCTCATTTCTGCGTGTCCGAGCATGTACTGGCGTGTCTATCTTATTAGCCCGAGAGCCGCCGCAAAGTAGAGATGATATCCAAGATGTAAATCCCTTCTTACCACTTGACGAAGGCCCCCTGACAATACGAGTAAATACACCAAATATGCAATAGCCACCGTCGAATTCCTCAGCAACGTTTCTACGAAACTCTTATAGCGGCAGTAATTAACGAAAGATGGGCTGAATTTTATTGAGAAAATGCATCGGCCAGGACTTCCTCGAATTCATCCGAGTGCGAATGGCCTCGTCAGGTTTTGAACGCGGTCGGCTTCCTTCGCGCCATGCCAGTCCTACTAGCCGCGCCGTCCCCAGGCCTTCCCATCTTACGCTGATGTCTCCTCATGGGGTTTATCGACTTTGGGGATCGCCATAAAGATAACGCTTAATTCCTGTCGCCTGTGACGGCTTCCAAAAACGCGACTGCGTACACGGTGACGAGCGCACGACCGTTTTTACTCGTGTTAAAACAAGTTCAATTCGGATAAAATCGCGCAATCGCTGGTGCACCTGCTCAAGATCGGTTCCACGATATTTCCGTTTTACCCACCATGCTGAGCAAGCTTGCCGTTGGAGTTCGTTCGGGCTGGAGTGCTGTTAGGCACGTCAGCACGTCGACTATTCGTGGATACGAGGCAAACTATCCGGTCGCTGGAGGGAAATTCTGAATTCGTTCCCTCACAGGTTCATGACCACTTCTACGATGCTGTCGTAGTTGGCGCTGGCGGCGCTGGCCTTAGAGCTGCTTCTGGCCTGGTTGCTCATGGGCTCAAAACCGCCTGCATCTCCAAAGTGAGTTTATGCAACCAGCACTACTGCAATTGATTCTCGTTTGCGTGCTAGGTCTTCCCAACTCGTTCCCATACAGTGGCTGCTCAGGGAGGTATCAATGCTGCTCTCGGCAACATGACGGAGGACGACTGGCGCTGGCATGCCTACGACACTGTGAAGGGCTCCGACTGGCTCGGGGACCAAGACGCCATCGAACACATGTGCCGTCTCGCCCCTCAAGTCGTCCTTGAGCTCGAGAGCTACGGCCTGCCCTTCTCCAGAACCAAGGAGGGTAAGATCTACCAGAGAGCCTTCGGTGGCCAGAGTCTCAAGTTCGGCAAGGGTGGGCAGGCCTATAGGTGTGCTGCAGCTGCTGATCGTACTGGCCACGCTATTCTCCACACTCTATACGGTATGTCTCTCAAGTACGATTGCCTTTTTTTCATCGAGTATTTTGCTCTGGACCTCATCATGGACCAAGACGGCTCCTGTAAGGGAGTTATCGCAATGAGCATGGAGGACGGGTCGATCCATCGCTTCGGTGCCCACCAGACTGTCATTGCTACCGGCGGCTACGGCAGGGCTTACCAGAGCTGTACTAGTGCTCATACCTGTACTGGCGACGGAGGCGGCATGGTCTCTCGAGCCGGTCTACCACTTCAAGACCTCGAGTTCGTACAGTTCCATCCCACTGGTATATTCCCAGCTGGCTGTCTTATGACTGAGGGTTGCCGTGGAGAGGGTGGAATCTTGAGAAACAGTGAAGGTGAGCCGTTCATGGCTAGGTATGCTCCTACTGCTAAGGACCTGGCCTCGCGAGATGTGGTATCTAGGGCCATGACACTTGAGATCCGCGAGGGCCGAGGGGTTGGCCCCAACAAGGACCACATTTATCTGCATTTGGACCACCTACCTGCCGAGACTCTCAGAGAGAGGCTGCCTGGTATCTCAGAGACGGCTAAGATCTTCGCTGGAGTTGATGTCACTAAGGAGCCTATTCCGGTCCTGCCTACAGTGCACTATAATATGGGAGGAATCCCTACCAATTGGAAGGCCCAGTGCCTTAATCCTACCTCGTCGGACCCTAGTAGGATCGTCCCTGGTCTGCTGGCCGCTGGTGAGGCTGGCTCTGCCTCCGTTCATGGTGCTAATAGATTGGGGGCCAACTCTCTGCTGGACTTGGTGGTATTCGGTCGTACTGCTGCTGATACTGTTGCCGAAATCGTGAAGCCTAACTCACCGCCCGTCACCCTCCCTAAGGACGCTGGTGAGGCTACCATTGACAGGTTCGATAAGATACGACACGCCAAGGGCCCAGTGTCAACTGCTGACCTCCGAAGCAAGCTTCAGAGGACCATGCAGACGCGTGCTCCTGTATACAGAAATGGAGATGACCTCAAAAAGGGGTGTGAGGAGGTGCGTGAAATTATGAAGGAGTATAAGGACATCGGCATCAAGGACCGCACGTTGGTGTGGAATACTGATCTTATCGAGACCCTCGAGCTGGAGAACCTCATAACACAGGCGGCTCAAACGATCATCTCTGGAGAGGCCAGGAAGGAGTCTCGAGGAGCTCATGCCCGGGAGGACTTCCCTGAGAGGGACGATGTGAAGTGGATGAAGCATTCCCTGTCGTATCAGACCAAGCATAACGTTGAGGACTCGGACATAACGTTGAAGTATAGGCCTGTGGTGGACCAGCCCCTGGACAGTGAGATGCACCATGTACCCCCTGCCAAACGAGTGTATTAGGAAGAATAGTAGCAGTAAATTGCTGGGCGTGTAGCTCCGCATCTACCATGAGTAATCGAAATTTGCCGAGTTTTCGTGATAGGAATTTTTTCAGCGACGTGGTTTGAGTTTGTCAGAATGCAGGGAGTGCTATCGAGGTTGTAGTTCTAATGGGTGTATTGAGCCTCCCTGCTGGGGTAGTCCGATGGCTTATATCCCTGGGCGTAGTGAAGGAGAGAGTAGATCTTGGACAGGCCGAACAGGGGACGGAGCAGTCGGTGCAGTTGAGTCAGAGGACCAAGCAACAGCTTATGGGAGGGAGTATGATAGCTGAAGCTATTGCTGCGGTAGTAGTAGCGTTGAGTTTGGGCAGTGTTGGAGGAATATATGTTTGCTTTCCTCGGCTGAGCTTAGGAGTTTCCTCACTAATTATATAAGTTTACGTACGAGTAGAGATGTACTGGAATCGATGAGAATTTCCTCAGGATTTCCATTATGCATACGGAAAATTATGTTTGCAATTGCAGGTTCTGGACCGAGCTGGCGTTACTCCTAGCCCCTCGTTGAGATCAGCAATCTCGTCATCTGGGAATGCGAAGAACCCGTCAGTGAGGTGGAAGGTGGTGGCAGAGGCTTTGTCGGAGCACTTGGATGTCACCCTGGACGAGACCATCTGCCAAGACCTGGCAGCTGAGAAGGACGAGTCGTTGGCAGTAGAGCTGCTCTTGGAGGTAGAATGGAAAAACGTTTCTGGGTGGGGGCGTATTGGGCTCTATACAGGTTTACACTGTTCTACGGGCTTATCAACAGCAGCATTCCAAAAGGACGGATAGGGGGAAGAGCATTGAGAGAAAAAGGGAGGGGTAGGACCGAGGGTCACTGTATAGAGTGTTGGAGGAATATATGTACATTTTCTCAGCTGAGCTTGAGAGCTTGCTCACTAATTATAGAAGTTCACATGAGAATTCGTATAGAAGTGTACAGAAACCAATGAGAAATTACAAAATTTTCTCAATGTCACCAACACATGCAGTTGATCATGTGCATATTTCCTCACATTGGATCTACTACTAGGTATGCTGCAGCGTCACGACGTAGGAGTAGAGAAACTAGTCCAGTTCGGACAGAAGAGGTAGCACTACTACTTGAGATGAATTCGGATTATCATCATCATCATCATCATCGTAATTTCAGCCACGTGCTCGTGTGACTTCTCGGTCTGTATCACCGGCTGCGGTTGATGAAACCAGCACAGCAAGTGTGGGGAGTTCAAAGGCAACTGCTGAGCAGTCAACAGCACAGCCCCCGCCGCCCGTCGGTCCCACTACTGCTAGGAAGCGAATAACCCCTAAGGACTCTCCTACGGTCCAAGCTAGTGGTACGCAGAAGAGCCCGTCTGGGTCCCCTAGTGGAGAGTCGGACGTAGCGTTGGGAGGCTACACCTTTCTGACCAGCACAGAGCAGTCTCCAATCAAAAAAGAGGAGACCACCTCTGGCCTCCACGAGTCGGCCTTTCTTAAAGAGCTTGATATGGAGGAGTCAACACTACCTCCGTTGGACCCAGTCTTGGGCGTTATAGTCTCCACGGCTCTGACAACGTTACAACTAGCAAAACCGGGCTCGTTGGACGAGGCAGCGATCACGAGGATGGTCAGTAATGGCGAGATCTACCCCTTCACATCAGCGTCCCTTGTAAAATGGTTTACTGCTGTACTCCCGCATCGGATAACGGAAGTGTCGTTATCTACCTTGTGTAGGGTAGCAGTTCCTGCTCTTGATACTAATATGTACGGTAATGAGGTCAATGCTGCCGCTGCTGGTCTGCTGTACTTGGCAGCATCTCGGTGCCCAAGGGAAGACTACCTTGTGAATACTCTGGCGAGGGAAGGGTACATCGAGAGCATCACGACGTGTATACGCAACAGTGATAATGAGGAGACTAGAGGCTCCCTGAGCTCGGCCGTTTTCCAAATCTGGCAACGGGATGGGGCCTCCTTGGTGACACTGTTCTCCTCCCATCTGGGCCGTACCCATTCACAGTTCCTTCCAGTAGCCCACAGTCTGGTGACCTCTCTGTCGCAGCATGGGGAGCCTTTCTACGCCTTATCCCCTGTAGTGGACTTCCTCCTAGATCAGCTGGTCAGAAGAAGACACTGTTGTTGTGCAGGGTGTGCCGCCCTCCTTGGGGAACTCTGGGTATCTGGTTTGATATCGGCTAAGGCCAACTACACAGAGCAAGCCGAGCAAGCTCTGCTCGCACTCCAAGAGAGGGCCTCACAGGGCTCTGGTGATGGGAGGGACCACCTCCCGTACGTTGCGGCCAGCACGCTGGTGTCTATACTGGAGTATGTGTGTCGGCAAGAGGATGAGGCCATGGCACCAGCTGTGTGGAGGTCCCTGGTGTACTCCCTCATAGTGTCACTAGGCACTCCAGAGCTTCTTCCAGACTATTCTGATTTCATAACATCGTTGATTTCGGAGGCCCTCCGGAAGCTACCGTGCCTCCCAGTTTGCGTCCTGTCGGAGCCGATCTGTAAGCTGTTTCTTGAGAGGAACGCGAGCGCTGACGAGATGATTCCAATGAAGGAAAGTGAAAAGGACCTGTTGCTGTCTATAGTCCATCACCCCCGACTTACGGAGGCAGCCGCAGTAGAGGTGGGTCGAGTCGGCTGAGAAGCATGGGGCATCTTGCCGTGTTCAGGTTTTGAAGGTAGCATGCAAACACATGGTATCGGACCCTCCAGAGGTGGACAGTGTTGAATGGAAGATCGTTAAGAAACTGTCAACACGGTATGCGACCAGTGCGGCCTTTGCATCGGCAGCAGCGGAGCGATGTCTTAAAGAGGTCGGTGCCCAGTAGTGGTTTTGTCGTGGTAGGAGCCTCGTGGCTTACAGCAACAGTGCATGACATTGTGGGAAAATATGCACATGTGTTGGTAACGATATTCGAACTTTGAGGGAATTATTGTTGGTTTCTGTACACCAGAATTCGCATGTAAACTTTTATAGTGGGTGAGGAAACTCCTGAGCTCAGCTGCTGAGGAAAGCGAACATATATTCCTCCAACTCTGGTGCATAAGGTGGCTCTTAGATACTACCGTCCTTACTGCAAGGGCCAGGATCGGCTGACGCGGTGGTCTCTATTGTGTCTACCATGGCTAGTGCTGGCTCGCGAGGAGAGGACAGCCACCTCCGCTCCGTCGCCCTTGGCCTTATCACCGACTTGTGTGCTGCGTATCGCTCTACCTACGCCGCGCTCCATCCTAACCTGCTACGGGCCTCTAGAGCCTTCCCGGAGTTGGAGGATCTCCAGGAGGACACCCCTGACCCTCAGACGGAGGCCTCTGATCTCGAGCAGGCTGCCCTGCCAGGACCCTGCCTGGGCGTTGGGGGGCCGCTGGACAGTTTTCGCTCTAAGGCTGCTGCCCGTATAAGAGAGTTGGAGATGCAGATCGGCGTCATGGCTGAGAAGCATAAGGAGAGGGAAGGTAGGGGTGGTAGAGTCTACCGTTGACATCGATTTTACGCCATGTGTAGATTCGTTGGAGTCAGCGATACGGGATCTGGAGGCTAAGGTGGACAAGGCTGCGGTAGGTGGTCAACTTCAGAGAGGCACCGAGTAGGGGAAGAACGCGCCTATCTCCCTGATTGACTTGGCCTCGCCAGGACATCTCCTGTCTCTAAGTTGGCCCTGCCCGTTAGTGCATCAGCCCGTGCGGCGGCCCCGCGGAAGCAGGAGAGCAGCGGCAGCCGCAAGTCGGTGCCAACGAGGTATTCTATTCTCTTCCTGTTTAGTGTAGGAAAATTAGCACATTGTTAACTACATGTGTTGGTGACAATATGGAAATTCTGAGAAAAATTTAAGAATTTCTTATTGGTTTCTGTACACTTCTACCCGAATTCGTTTGGTAATTCCTATAATAAGTAAGGAAACTCCTCCTAAGCTTAGCTGACGAAATGAACATGTATTCCTCCAACACTGTTCCTATTGATGATGAATTATGCCACTATTTCAGGAGCCCTCGAGTAGTGGGGGATCCTCCCACGAAAGAGATCACCAGATCCACCAAATCTCTTACGGAAGGTGGTGTTGGTCAATGTTGAGTCACCGTGCGATGAGTTCCTCAGATGATGGTGCCTTGAAGAGCGCGCGGCACAAGGGGGCCGTCCTGGTTCTGGAGGGAGCTGCGGCTGAAGAGTGCTCCAATTTGGTGAAGGCATTCGCCAAGCCGATGGAAGTTATGTATCTGCAGTAGGTCGTAGTAGTGTAGACGAAGTAGTGAGGGCCTCATCCTGGTAGGTGTTGCCATCAGAGTGTCAGTCGATCGTCTCTCAAGCATCCCCGTCATAGTTCCTCTCGAGGGCACCAGGTGGGGTGACCTTCCGGTGTCCCGGCTATCGTGTACTCTCAGGACACATCGCCAGCAATAGCACTCCTGAACCTCCTCACGTTCTTGCGTGATGCGAAGATCATACCTCACATAACGCCTCGAGCTGTGGCTGGTGGGATTCCTTTACATATTTTCACTATCATGTGCCTCCTCAGAGGAGTTCATATCGAGTATGGAGCACCCAATACGGCTGCCTCAAGCCATAGAGCTCATCGCCCAATGCGCCTTCTATGGCGTGGACCCGCTGGAGTGCAGACCATGGTCACAATGGGTACCCGAAGGCCGCCTCTCCGGAGCGTCTCAATACTCTTTCAGGGTGTCCTCGTTCCTTTGCCGGAGCATCAGGAAGCACGGCAGTTGCAGAGTATGCTGCAACACCTTATGAATCTGGCGACCCTGCCTGGGGGGGCTAGAGGGGCGAGCGATAAGATGAGCATGAGCTCAGACGAGTGGGCCGCGGCGGTAGGCCCCTCCTGGACTTTGACGGAGTACGATGTGGTACAGGTCCGCAAACTGGTCCGCCGTTATGTACGATCGGCTATTGAGTCGTTTGATCCGAGCAGTAGAGAGCTGTCGGGTAGGGGGTCAGGTTTGTTTATTTGGAAAGCTGGCCTTGCTCCTGTAGACGAGCCCATGATCCCTCCTGGCTTTGCCTTGTCGCCTGATGGTAAATCTATATATGTTGCGGACAAGTCGTGGAACCGAGAAGGAAGGACTGCCTCCCGGAAACAGCAGCAGCAAACGGCAGAGTCCAGACAACCGGTATGACTGCGCTTACTCGTCCAGTTTAGGGGGGAGGGCGTCAGGTGCATACGGAGTTGCTGTACAACATGGCCTCGGCATCCTCCGATGCTAGTCTTGACTCGTCCTCGGGGGGCCAACGGCTCCATAGTAGCGGTAAAACAAAGGGACATTCTGGAAAGCATCGGTGAGCCGATCGGTGGTGGACTCGGGAGAATGGTCCGTCTGTCGTAGGGCGGGGAGTGTACTGAGCCTTGCTGGGGGCTTGGCCGCACCTACGAAGACGCTACCGGAAGAGGCCGACAAATTTCTGCTTAGTCACGACCGAGCGCAGAGAGTCCTCGGAGAGACCTGGCTGAATAGGGCTACTCAGACGATACATAAGTAGTCGTTGGCACTGGAGGCACACACTTGGTGAAGTCACTCGTAGGCATTTCCTGCAAACACAATCTGGTGATGTGGACGCATGTGCTGGGCTTCGGCTACCAGCCTTTACCAAGTGCCTCACTGGCTTCCTCAAGCTCCTGCCTGATGTTAGTAGTGCGAAGTTGCTCTTTCGTAGAGTGGCTGGGGCGGGCTCCCAGGAGGTGGACGTTGGAGGCCTCGGACGGGCAGTCCTGGCATCGGCCTGCGTCACACCATACGGTCAGGCTGCTATCAAGGAGTGGCCCTCGGCCTTGCAGGTAAACGCTAGATTTGGTATTGCTCTGGAGTATGGGGTTCTATTCAGCTCATGGATGAGCATCCTGATGTTCTGCTGGATGTAGGGGTGCAGGCCCTCTACCAGCGCGATTTCAAGGACCTCGCTGCCTTGAGGTCCAGACTGCATCATTTCAGTGCGGGCTCATTGCCACAGCAGACACCGGACCAGATGAGGTGCCGTTTGGGGTTTTTGAGGGTTGTTGCTGAAGGTGGTCGTTGCAGGAAGGATGTGGCTGAGCTCCAAGGAGTAGTGGTACGCTCCGGAGCCGTGCCCATGAGCATGCCGATGGATGAAAGTGAAGGGGGCAATGACGACTCGAAGACGTCTATAGCCGAGCCGACCAACCCAGCAGTCGCTAATACACCGAAAGTGGAGGAGGCCACCGAGGGCTCCCAGCCAGCAAAGGAGGATGTCCAGACTGGTCCTCCGCCCCAGACTGAGAGGTGAGATCCGCTTTTAGAGAGGGTAACGCTGTATGGTAGCGGCTTTGCTCAGTCAACTTGTTGAGGGTGAGTTAGCTGATGAAGCTAAGGTTGAGGGACCCGTCCCAGCGAGTCCGGAGGCGAACAACGAGGATGCCGCGGAGGTCAATAGGTGCGCTCTAATTGGGCTAGGTGTTTGTGTCCAGTCTGGATATGCTCAGCCCTGATTCGTTGAATGAAGACCAGCAGGGGAAAGGCAGAGGATCGGGATTGCCCGAGTGAGAATTGCTGCCCATGTCTATCTATGTATTTTCCTTGGGATTGGTCTGAATATGACTTTTTAGGTCCGTTAGTGTTGTCGAGCAGTCCTCAGCTGAAGTCCTTGGCGAAACAGCAGGTGAGAGCGAAGAGGCTCAAGTTTCCAATGCTGAGGGCGCTGAGGATAACCTCGCTGGAGACCCATCGCCGTGAGATTTCTCGCGATCGATACCTCTTTTGAGTGTTCTTCATATGGAGACTATAACTTGGTGCATCTCAGGGAAGTGGATTCTGTCCAAGGACTATAATTAAATATCAATTCGTGAGGCGTCGAGTAAGAGATGGTAGCACCTATTTGAGGATCTTCAGGTATTCTACCAGAGATTCCTAGTGAGATTATTCTGTCATTGTCATGCGTCCATTATTATATTTGTTGTTAGTATTGGGAAGTATGTTGTGTTACTCGAGTATGTTGTCAAACCTGGTTGCGTATGCTCAACTTGATGGATATAATCAGAGACTTTCACGTTGTGAATTTTCTCTATACTTCACACGTGATTTTGCTGACATTCAAGTAACCGCGACGAGAACTTATTCACCTCACTTCGATTGAAGAGTGTTACAGCATAGTCGTCCAATCTCAAATATATATAAATAATGGAGCCAATTTATTCTCAGACGACCGTGCTGTAACACTCTTCAGTACAAATGAGGTTAGAAGACAGTGTTGTAATACTCCTTCATGATGCATCAGAGAGAGGAACACTAGTTCTACAATATCGCCACTGACATTCAGATTGGCTGGGACGTAGTTTGTATCATCATTGCAATGAACAGTATTCGCTGTATCAGAGAGAGGAACACTTGTTTCTGCGTTATCCCCACGGATAATCGGACTGGGGCGGCAGATAGGGTCATCATTACAGCTGTTAGTGGAATGTTGCCGGTATGGTTTGTCTCACAGCTAATGGCCACGTAGTAGCTACTGCAAGTCTAGGAATATATCGGCACAGAATTAGGAGCGCCAGAGCACTCAACTAACCCAATCTGTATTGGATGAAATCGTTGGCGACTATACACCACATGAGGATGCTCGCATAGACGATTTAACATGAATAGTTAGAGGCTACTCATGTACTCATCCGGAGAAAACACAAACTTGTAGGTGCGTCAAAATCACCGGCATCTCACAAGATGAGGCACAAGCGCGAACACGCAACAAGAGCTATGTGCACACGAACAGGTCGACAACACTATCGATGGAGAACAGTCGAGGGAGAGTGTGCATAGCAACCATCACTAGCCAACACAACAAAGTGTGTTATCCTCGCAGGTGCATAAAGCAACCTTTTAGCAACCACAGAAGACCCATCTGGCAGGTGAGAGTATCAACGGGTCATCATTAGAGCACGCCTTAGTCGAAGAGGTCGAAATCCATTTCCTCATCCTCCTCTTCTTCCTCCTCAGCAGGAGCAGCAGCGGCCTCAGCCTTGACCTCACCAGCAGCAGTAGTACCAGCAGCGGGGGCAGCGGAAGTGAACTTGGAAGGATCCTTGAGGAATTCCTGAGAAACGAAAACATAATATCATTCAGCGAATGGAGTTAAAACGCATCAGAACGATCAGTTTGTTGCCGGTATGGTTTTTCTTCCAGCTAATGGCCACATAGCAGCTACTGAACGACTAGGAATATACCGGCACAGCATTAGGAGGGCCAAGGCACTCAACCAACGCATACTGTATAGGAGAGAACCGTTAGCGACTATACACCACGTGAAGGTGCTCGCATAGACGGTTACTGCGAGTATGGTTAGAGGCCACACTGCAATCCCTCCAAAAACCAACGAGCGACAGGAATCCCCTAATACCTTGAGCTGCTCGATTTCGGGGAAGGTGAAGTCGACGTCGGAACACAGAGCGGCGATGTTCCTGAAGGCGTTGTTGATAGCATAAGGCAGAGTGGCCTCGCTGGGGATGCCGGCTTCACGAGAGAAGGCGGCAAAGTAGGTAACACCGTGCATGAACTTCTCAACAAGATCGTCATCGCTGATATCCAGAGCAGCGGCATCATAGACCTCACCGTTGTCGTAGATACTCTCAAGCTCGACACCGTACTCGAAAGGACGGATGTTCAACTTCATGAGAAGGGCCTGCTGAGAGGCAGTAACCTTCTGACCCTTGGTGACAAGAGCGACATCGTTGGAGATCTCAATGGAACCCTTGACAATCTTGGTGGCGATGTTCAAAGCCTGGAAGAAGTTAGTCTGAGAGGGGTCCAAAGAGGTGGGACCAGCAGGGATATCGACATTGCACTGAGCAACCATACCAGCCTTAGCCATAGCGGGAACCTTGTGCTGGGAGATGACCTCACGAATCTCGTCAATAGGAGCCATGCAGAAGATAAGACCGATGTTACCCTTGATGACATTCAAGAGATGGCCGAGATCAGCGTCGTGCTCCTCCTCGTATTGTCTGAGGGCGGTACGGAGCATAGTGTTCTTACCCATGACTATGATGGCCTTGCCACGGAGAGCAATACGGATCTGCTGCAACTGGTTGGATCCGACATGGTCAACGGAGGCGATGAGGATCTTCTCGCAAGTGTCGAGTAGGTTCTTCACCCTATCGAGGTAGGCGGTCTTCTTAGCAAGCTTCTTGGGATCACGGGGTGCCATACTGCGTGGGGACTGCGAGCTAACGGCTCTACAATCAGTTTAACCACTGAAAGGTATGGATAATTATAAAGAAGACCACACCCGAGAAAAATAGATCACGTGATCGATTATGCATAGCGGGATGACGCAACGGCGCATATTCAGCGCGTGGCTCATGGCGGAACTCCATAACTTCAACGCGATACCTTTTTCTGTTGACTGGATAGAGTTGATAAACATTTCAATTATGGCTCGTACAATCTACCATGTCAAACGTGTATAATTTAGTTTCCACCCAAAAAACACGGTAGAAGTTTGCGAACACCACATTTCACCGTTTGGCCTTCTGGAACTCTTTTGACTGGTCAAGATTGATCTATGTTGCCATCTGGAGGGCGATTTTTCCCTGAGGGATTTACTTTTCGAGCTCGAGGTTACCACTGTTGAGCGATGTACAAGCTAATCTCTATGAAGCACGGAACTGTCGAGGACGTTGACTCCCTCACTAACTGGATGGAGCGCAGGGTAATGCTGTGGAAGTAAATGCCCATATTGCAGCGAATACTTGTAGAGGAGGAGTAGGCTCGAAGAGGAGCAGTGTGTATAGAGAATGTCGTCGAAGGTGATGTAATCCCACAGGCCTCCAGAGATAGTCGTGGCACAAGCGGATAGAGAGAAGACAGCGCGGTCGCTGAACATGCTGAACGTCCTTTCGCAGATGTCGATTTCCAATGAAGGTGATATGTCATTGTGGGTGGTATTGTCGGAGGTCCCGATCGGGTAGTCTGACGAAAGATTCCCAACGAGCTAGTCCAAGTAGTCTAGTCGGGATAGTCATCGGCATGTGAGCAACTGAGTCATCATAGGCCAGTGCTGGTCAGCATTTACTCCTCAAGAGACCGCTGCATCACCCCTCGTTTCGAAAACCCTTGAGAGAAGGAGAATTCCTCGTCTTCAACGTCACTAATAGCGATGGTAGTAGCTAGTGGGATGCGGCAACCGCGACCAGATCATATCAGAGGGACTACGATGTGGTCTTGATGGTAGGCATATGGACTGTGAGAGAGGTCATATTATTGGGCTTGCTGGAGGCAAGCTGGATGACGGTAGAAGGTACTGCTACTTGCTGTCAAAGACTGCTATTGGGATGTTCGGTAAACTTGGGCTGAGTCGAAGTTGATTCTGGAAGCGCTAGAATCGATTCTAGGGTTGAGATGAATTGAAACGCTGTCTTTCGGAACGTTTGTGACGCCCACATGAGATGAAGTGTGTGTTTCAGTGGAGACTTTTTCAGCCTCCCGTCCGAGCTGGAGAGATAAAGAGGACAGGGATGAGACGAGGTAGAACAGATAGTAGATACTGTTGCCAGCGGAGAGTGACTAAAGGAGGGGATTATCATCCGTTCACACTTGCTGGAGTTGATATTGTCCTAGCCCTCCCGCCGAACTTGTAGAAGAGGTTGTCGGACTTCCAACCGTCGACCCTAGCTGTGGTGGCGGCTACTATCGATGCGGAGTTTGTGTCACCGCTAGCGAGGCTGAGGTGTGGTATGAGGCATGCCCTACATGAAATGGACGAGGTTTTCAAGTAGTTCTGGTAGTGTTTCGTTATCAGTCACGGCTCGGGGGCGGGGACTGATATGCGTATATTCCCCGTCTTCTTCCTCCTATTCAAAGGTGTTCTCTCTCATGAGAAGATGCTCTCATTCGTGTGTTGTTGAAGTTTAGTAAAGTTATGGCCCGGAGAGCTCGCCGACCATTCCTAGTGGTGGTGTTGGCGTCGTTTGTTCTCTACTCGACATGCAGCCTTTTCTTAACACCTCGGCTGTCCACTCCGACGGGAGCAACGCCGAGGTTGCGGGCCTCGAGGGCGATCTATGGAGATGAGGGGATCGGGTAGGGTGGGGTTATACCTTCTGGTCATGGCTACTTGATTTCAATCAGGCCGAGCAAGCCGGACGAGCCATCGTTGGGCTCTAGATTAGCCCGCGGTGGAGCTCTAGCCTCGATGCTGGCAGTTGGCTCGGTGTTGGGGTATGGTCTGCGGCGAGTCTTGCCTGGCTTTATTCAGAAGGCGTCTCATACAATTCAACTCTTGCTCCGAGGTAAAGACCCTCCGTTGGGCTTATGGAATCATCCAGGAATCTATAATGTTCTCGGGAGGAACTCATTTAGAATTTTTCACGGATGGCTAGGAAGACACATTTTTCACATGTCATCACATTAGGAACATATTCCTCGTTGTTGTCAAACCTTAGGGAGCATTATTTCACCAAGCGAGATGGGTCTTTGGCTGAGTTGTGTTATCGACATAGCAGATACACCACCGGAGATGCCCCCTGTAGTAGTATATCCCCCTAACACTGTATTCTGGTATAAGAGCCCAGACCTCGGTGCCAAGTTGGAGATCCCAGCAACAATACCTCTCACAGACACTCTCACTGATGCTGCTGTTAGGGAAAGGATTCGGAGACAAGTAAGTTGTCGAAGTGGTTGTTGATAGCAGAATCGTTGAGTTGTAGATATCACAGTCGAGTTGGTGGGAGGATAAGCTCCCTTCGATGACAACAGTGATGGAGATCGGCTCAACTTTACTCTCGCTGTGGTCCCGTAGCGGTTCTAACGGCTGAAATATTTCCTCTACATCTAGTAGCCCTTGTGTAGAGTGTAAATCCATTCCCTGTCCCCTTCATCTCCCTATTCGAGGACCTCTATTCTCTGTCGTTGTTGCTTTAGTTGTCATTACCATTTCTATGACGAAGGACTCCTCCATCGCTCCGCCGTTTCTTTTGGAGATACCAGATGTTGGCAACCCTTTCGACGATGATGATCTGTCCACGTCCCAGACAACTGCTGAGGGTTTCTCGCACCCATCTGGTCCGGCAGCCGAGGTCGTCTTCGGTCTTGATAGTGACGCAAGGAACTGCTGTTGTCGGTGTGTTACCTCTGAGGGGGTCTCAACCTTCTACTGTTGTCCTGTGTGCGAAGTGAGTAAACTCTATCTGCTTGTCTAGGAGCTTAGTGCTTCCCACAGGCTCTCTTGTGCTCGCAGTGCCTTCTAGAACTGCGGGCTGACTGTGGACCTGAGGAGCTCTCCTGTCCTCTGTGCGGCGACTCGACTACTGCAAGGGTGTCTATGAACCGTCACGCTGCCCTTCTCAAGGCAGCAGGAGAAGCTCGAGTAGGTTAGTTGCACTGAGTTCTGACAGTGATACCACTCCTCTCAGAAGACGTGGTCTTTAGTATCATCAGCCTCCATAGGCTTGATGTCAGATGTGCGGACTGCATGGTCGGGGTTGCTGAATTTCCGTAGAGGAACAGGTGAGAGCGACGACGAAGAGGAGACCCCCGAGTTGGTCGTTGGTGAGTCTTTGGATATTTTCCGGTTCAGTCTTGTGCCATCTGTGATTCAGATGGAAGAGGGCATCCAGCATCCGACCGGGCATGGTATCATGTTGCGTATGAATCTTCTAACATGCCACAACGTTGACTGAGTTTTTCGTATTTGACCTCGCCTGGTGTTGAACTAGCTACACTCTTCATCATACTATGACGAAACTTGGCTTCCACTAAGGCCCCGGCGTAGTTTCCAGGTGGTTTTTTCTCGGCATATTGCCTATGAATGCTTCTGGCCTTGCCCTCGATATTCTAAAGGACAGTATTGGTGCTCCGAGCACGCCCTAACAGACTCGATAGTAGCGATTTTATACCATTGTCGACGCAATGGGAGTATCACTTCAGGGCCAAAGGTGGCTTATCGGGATCATGCTAGGTTCGTCCTAAAGACCTTGTTGATCGAAACCTCATAGTGGGCTGCTGATCCACGGCTCTCGTACTCGAGTAAGCTATCTCCAGCAGTCCATACAGTAACCCATGTTCCGTCACTTAACGGCATGTATAAGTAGAAGCTCTAGAGTCTGATCTTCACTGGTGAGAAGATCACTTGCCTCTGTCTGCCGAGAGAGTTCGCTATGACCGCTATGTACGATGTTTGTAAAGGTTACACCCGAGTTTTTCGTCCGTCGCAGCTGCTGTATTTCGTTGCGCGCGACGCTTCGATCATCCCTGATTAGATACCGAAGTGCTCCGGGACTACACTGATGCTTCACAAGAAGCCAATCATCTGAGTTGAATGTCGTCAGCTTAGGTTGAACGAACCATGCTGTCTAAAACAAGCGTATAGGAAGTGAATCGGTACATACGACCCTCACAGTCTGCTCAAGGTGCGATCAACAGTGACTTCCATCACGATCGATCGCCAGGGTAGGGATATGATAATTCCTGAGGGATCATCGTTGAGGGTCTCGAAGACATTTGCCGATTATGGTTATCGGCATGGGAAGCGCCTTATTTTTCCTGGTGAGCTTATGTGTGGTTCACCAAGTGATGAAATGCTCCAATTTTAATGGTCATTCAAATGCTCAGTATTCGATCGATTTCAACCTTGGCTATTGCCTTGTTGTTTTGTTCTCTCGCCGACGATTGCCGTACCATGTTCAGTCAAATGGATGTTGCGGCGCCTCCAGAGAGCAACGGCTGCCTCACCTTCCGGAAGTAGGTCTCTGATAGTGAAGATCAACCGTTGGGTCATCTGAGTGAATAGGTGCTTCGAGATAGGGTACTCTTCAGCACTGAAGGAAAAGCAGCAGTTCCCGTTGCCGTTCGAGCGGAACGATAACCTGTCAGCTACTCGACCTGATGTGTCGTTGAACTCTGCGAAGTCATTGTAGGCATCTGTACTATCATCTCTCAACAGTCTCCTTGTGCTCAGAGCTCAGCGGCTAACTCCAAGTGGGGGATCAATTTACTCCAACCATAGTCATGACCGACTCCATCCACGTTCATTGTAGCTAGTACCTACCCAAGCTGTTGTTCGATCGTTGTTTGCTGCCGTAGCAGAGCTCAGAAGCACCGGTCTCGATCGTCGCACTGCTTACTGTCATTTACACGGAAGTTCGCGGTGCCAGCTGTAGCTGCTAGCCGATCCAGTCCCTATGTCGGATATTTTTTGAAGCATGGAAAGAGACCTGTTGAAGGAGATAAGGTGACTAAGCTGTTCATGTCATATGTCACTGTGGGCTGGTGTTAGGTCTCCAACTCGCAGTCTACGACGGTAGCACGTATGTCTACTGTAGCGATGGGAGCTGCTGAACGCTTTCTTAGCTGGATGCTCCTGGTAAACGGCTTGGTTTGATATGGAAGTCAATTCTATGCAGACTCCGTCGGGGTTGCCGTACGCTGAGATGGCGAAGATACACCACAGGGTTCATAGCCGACGACAACATACGTGTACGAACTCTATGTGAGTTGGCGCTATTGAATTGAGTCAAGCTTGAGTATCTTCTATTTAGATTGAAAAAGAGCAACTCGTGTAAGAAGGCTCAGCGAGTGAGCTACTCCTCAGAGACTCGAAAGATCTATGGTATTGACTCGTATGTCAATGGGTAACAACATCGACCCTGACGTTTCCTTGACATGACTTTTCCATGATTTCAGGCGGCTCCCACCGGATGCAGCTTTTCGCGGTTCTCGTTTCTAACATATCTTCGGCCAGTACTTCTTTTTTGCCTGCTGATTCCCCTGCACATCGTGCCCAGGTTTGGGGTAGGCAGCACTTCTGACTCCGATCATTATACCATGGGGAATTTTCCAAGAGGTGGGCGCTTGAGTTCAGCAAGTTACGTGTTGTCTCCTCGGCGTTTATTTCTGCCTCATTGATGGCGGATCGAGGCTGCGGCCAAACGATAGATGCCCTGGCGTTGATGATGCTCGCCGAGTTGGGGAAAGTCCACACCAAGCTTGACCTTGTGCTTAGTCGAATCGATCACCTTCAGCGTCAGTTTGATAACGGTTGTTCGAATCCAAAGTCATTAGCTTCTAGTGGGCTCATCATTGAGGCGTCGGTAGTTGATGATAATAGCTCACGTGATGGGACCCCGCAAACGGTTCGAAACGTCACACTGCTGGAGGTTTCTCCTACAGCGGAGAGGCTCTCTGGTGACGACGACCGCGGCGGTCGTAGCAAAAAATGCAGTAATGTTGTCGCTGATTTGGATGTTAAGGAAGAGGGCAACCTGCTGGAGGAGGGTGGAAAGGAGTCAGCGAATGCAGTTGAGGAAGCGCCTGCAAAGCGACGAGATGATTACAGTAGACAACAACAAATTCTACTTCCGAGAGTCTATCTCAGTGTTTGATCTTAGAAGCACCGACGAACCGTTGTGTGGTTGCATTAACTCCAACTGTGGGGACGAATACTGGGCATGCTGTGAGCATAACGGGGAGAAAAAGACGGCGACAGAGTCAAGCAGTAGGTTTCCACTGATGAGCTCCGGAATGTCGTAGCATACTGAACACGCTTGGCACGTTGGAGAATTTAGCTTGTGTCACGAACACCGGTTTTCTCGGCGCTGTCAGGCGGACTACTTCGTCGATGTTGATATTAGGGTTCAGTTGGAAAGGAAAGCTTATAGAACTCGGGTAGCAATACAAAGACAGAACCATCTATACAGGTTCAATGGGGCTCCTGATTAGGTGAATATGTTCCCCAAGGGTCGCCTCCTGAGTCAAATTAAGAAATTTATGATGAAGGAAGCTCACTTGAGGGAATGCTCACTGCGTGAGCAGCCCTGGATGGTTCTTGGTCACAACGGGGTTACTGAAGTTGAGCTCGACCCTGACGCGCCGGCAGAGATAGCTGCTGAGTATGAGTACCTCCTGGTGCGACCGATGGCTGGGGACGATGAGCAAAGGAGCTGACTTAGCCCAGCTGACATGTATCACTTTTTTGATCCCATTGACCTGATAATGCATGTTCCGCCCCTTGTGATCTGTGGTAATGTACTATTGTTCGAGCACTTGAGTATGAATTCGCCTGATCGGCCACTGAGCTGCGTTGCTACATACAGAGGTTATATGAGTGTAGTTAGAGAAGCAGCTGAGGGTCGCTAACTGAGTCGGTATGCGGATCCTGATCCACAGTCTGTGGACCACAGATCAAGCACATGGTCCGGATCACTCGTTGATCTTGACGCCTGAGCCAAAGCCATCGTGATCCGAGATGCGTGAGGCAGATCTCTGATTCTTGAGTTTGATCCGTGATCTTTGATCCTTGATTGTTGATCTTGATCCTGATCTATGATTCTTGAGAAATGCCTCCTTGATCGTTCGTCTTACTAGTTGAAATCTATCTTGCCCGGGTTCGATCCCCGGCGAAGACATTTCTTCCCAAAAGAGGCCGGCGCAATATCTTCGTTTCTCTTCTAGCTCTACAACCCTGTTTCTCTCGTGTACGTCTTGGCAGGAGTTTGTCCCAAAGGTCTAGGAATCTTATACAGAAAGTTTTAGGTGAACTACAGCCAATGGATGGTGAAGTTGACTTGTGTCAGACTTTAATCAGACGCGTATCAATGCTCGAAATTCTAAGCAGCCGCAGAACGTCGTATAGGCGGACCCTGCAGCAGAGAGCTCAGGGATGTGCAATGCGCATTCGTAAAATTATGAGTAGGGCAGGCGCCTCGGGTGTCACCGTCTTTGACTGGGACGATACGCTCTTTCCAACCTTCGTTATTTGCTCGCGATCGGCAGAGATGACGATGGAGCTCTGGTAACACTGTGGATAACTGAGCAAGGTGGTTATTGGTGTATCAGGAACGAGTTGCAAGAGCTGGCTCGAGTTGTGGAAGAATTACTCAAATGCTGTCTCCAAGTGGGGACAGTCGTCATCGTGACCAACTCTGAGGAGGGATGGGTGGAGTATAGCGCCCACACCTACTTTCCCTCTCTGACTAAGGTCACTTCACGGGCTATTCTAGTAACTTACTACTACCCTTCGCAGGTCCTGCGACAGTGTCGCATTATATCAGCCAGGACTACGTATGAGAAGCAGTACCCCGAGGATCAATATGCGGACACTTCATCGTTGTGGAAATTACTCGCTTTCGCTCTTTTGTGGATCGAGTTCAAACCCTCTCAGGTGAGTATGAACATCGTAACCAACCCCGCTTCTGGATGCACTCGATTTAGTTGATCTCGATAGGAGACTCTGTGAAAGAACGGCAAGCGTGCTTGAAAGCGGCCGCTGCCTCCACATACCATTGCCTTCCCAAAAGCGTCAAATTGGTTAGCGCTCCAAGTTGTAAAACTCTCATTCGAGAACTCACGATTCTTCGAGAGGCCTTTCAAGTAAGGCATTGAGGAGCTCCTTGTGGAAGTCTTCACTTGGCGGTGTGGTTTTTCTCAGGACTTATTCATGTTCAATAGCCCAGTAGACGTTTCCTTCGATGGAGAGCACTGGCAGTTGCAAAGCGATTATTCTGGTGCTTTGTGAAGAGCAATCTTCATAGTCTACGTTCGTTGTTGCTGTTCGGTCATTTATCAATAACAGTAATGACTTATACAGAAGTAGCAATTATTGTACTTATTATAATCTATGTAACAAATTTCGATATTCAGAAAAATGAAAGTCGTTGTCGTCCCGCTGTGTCCGTTGTGACTAGCGATACCACCTTTAGTTCCCATCATGGATCGGGCGGCAATCTGTGCCCCCTCTTCGTTTGGTAAACATTGCCGCATTGTGCTCGTATAGCAGAGAGCTCAATAGCAGCAACGGCTTTTATTGAGCCGGTCCGACCGTGCAAACTAGTCGTATCGTTGTTCTATTTGATTTTTTACTAGTCTGAAATACCACATTCTGCTGCCGAATTCTCTCCATTCAGTCGCCGTCTTCCTTTACTTGATTATACGCAGAATTCCATCGTCGAACTCATTGGTGCAGCGAGCGCTGCTACAGTGGTTCGTCGTTGCAGTCCGATGCTGAGCATTATGACTACCATCTGTCTATACACAGCAGCGTTGCCTACTGTATCAGTTGCAGTAGTATTCTACTCCTAGTATGGCTAGTTACGGAAATTCTTGATTCACTAATTTTTAAGAGTGACGTCAAGTTTCATATGATTCCCCCTTGTTTGGTTATCACTGCTATTGAAGTAGATCTTCTGTTGTCGTAGTTTCCTAGTGTTAATGAGAAGGTCTCGATGGGCACCGCGGAAAGCGAGTTCAGAGAGTAGCCCTCAGAATCTCCGCGATCGTGCGATAAAGCTCGCGCACAACTCCCATATGTATTCGCCCTGCAATTTGCGGAAACTAGTAACACGGGGTTCAGGGCTAATCGTCGTGTATATCTCCTGTTTGTGTTGCGAGGTCGATCGAGTTTCATCATGACTTCAGGTCCTACAGCCCAAAGAAGCGAGTGCTGGGATAGCGAGCAACTACTTTCTGGATCATCCGGAAGAACAGCCTGTGTAATGGGAACTCTCGATTGGTTATGTATGTGAGCGTTGTTAATATAGGTATGGCAACAGGGAGCTCGTTCGGAAAGAAGTCATTCATGTTGAGGAGAGCTCCCCGTTGCCTAGGTTGTTGACTTTGCCGATCGACAACCGCTGTGCTAAGTCCAATCGCGACACGGCATCGTCAAGAGTGGAAAGCTGCGATAGGTAAGGCACTGAGGAGTTATTCGATTACGTTGTCTATGATGCATTCCTTCTCAGCGCGCTACGAATTCCGAAGTACTTGAATGATGTGAGCCCATCAGCTTCCACTGTGGAAGGATTGGACTCTGTTGAAGTCGGTGATTAGAATAAGGTGGTGATCATAGATACTAGAGTGTAGTGCTACTGCTGTAATTGTATGTACTGTGGAAGTCTCATTCGAACCAGTACCGATATTTTTGGCAACGCACTGATCATCTCTCGTCATGATCATCATCATGGGTATATCATATGTTCTCTTTTTTGAGGTTTCGTAGCGTTACACTTTTTCTGTCTTCGTTATGAGTACTGTTGCTGCTCATCTCGTCGCCTTATGTGCCCTATGTAGGGTTCTTGACACAGCGTTTCGTAGCGTGAGTTTATTCACAACTCTCTATTACCACTGATACTATCAGCATCGCATAGGCGTGGTGTCGTTGCGAATCGTCATGCGCGTATGTCGTAACCTTGGCTACTCGGTTGATGGGGAGAGTTCGCAGTATCCCCATCTCCCGAGTGAGGTTTGTTCATACCCTCATGCTCCATTATAACCCGACGTATCTCCTCTCTGGTTCGACTACCTATAGCTGGTTTCTGTACCACATAGGTTGGGCCTCCTACACAAGATGAGGCCAGAAGAAGTTTGCTGTGGAGTTGTCGGTCGGGGAATATAGATGCTCTGTCTTACTTCGGTATTGCTGTGGTCCAACTACTGAAGCTGCGTGTCGGACCCGTTTTTGCTTGTCTATTGCTTGCTGCACGATCTGTATGGGTCGCGCGGTATCGTTTACCATATACGTTGTCTTGAGATGTAAGTGCTATGTAATTTTTACAAGACTTTTATCAGCACCATTTTCCTCTATTGTTGCTGTTGTTTGACCTTGAGGTGCACCAGTTTATTGCTTGATGTTAACGCATATCATGTAGTGAGCTCAGAACTCAACCCTAGCTCTTGTTTGGTCAGTTAATACTCCTCTACGGTCAGTTATATCCAGCTTGTCGCTGCTTGTTGCTGATATAACTGTCGACGGTCGGACTGCCAGCATTATGCAGCAGTGTTGTTGTGTTGTTTGCAGTTGGACGAATGACCCCATCATACTGCGCAGTATCAGAAGGGCCTGGTAGAAATGCATACCACGGTTCTGGAATAGTGACAGTCAACGAGGTACATGACCAATCCATGTCTATGAACAACTGAACTTCAACCGACAGAAGAAAGGAGGCAAAGGGACAGTTTTTGTGTCGAGCTGTTGAATTCGGATTATAGGTGTTGTTAAGACTTAGACTTGTTTAGTAAAAATGGTTATGTCCGCGTCGTTATTAGCCGGTAAAACCCTCCTCAAACAGGATGGCACTGTTGTTCGTGCTGATGAAGTGTTGCTTAAAAAGGATATCGTTGCGCTGTACGTCCTCTCGAAAACGATGCTTTTCTAAGCTCACGTTCACATAGAATAATCAGCGTCTGAATAGTATTCCAAACCCGAACGCCAGTATTCAGTGAATACTCGTTTGGACTCACCTGACGGTTCTCCTAGGTATTTTGCTGCTCATTGGTGCCCCGATTGCATAGCCTTCACTCCCACTGTTAAGAAGTTCTATGAGGTGAGATGACCCTCGTGAATTTTCGACTTGTGTATCCAGTATCAATCGGCATCCACATACTGGTGCAGCGTCCACTAGCTTTGTAATTACATTGCAATTTTGAACGATTTCACGCGCACAGTGAGGGAACGTACCGTTGGACTGTTCTACTTAGTCGCTATTGAGAGAATTGGAGAATTACTTCCTTTGCTCTGTCCAGGATGTAAAAGCCAAGAATCCCGATAAGTTGGAAATCATATTCGTGTCTAGCGACAAGTCTGAGAACGAGCAGGTGAGCCGAGGATCAAGCTTGTTGTGGTTTGTGTTATAGTCATTGCAGATTGCTTATCATCGGAATGACATGCCTGATTGGCTGAGGGTTCCTTTCAATGACAAACGTACTCGTGCTACGTTAAAGAAAGAATATGGTGAGTTGCATCAATCATCGCTCAGTGGATGATACTGTGAATGGTAGGAGTGTGCGCTAAGAAGGAGATGGAAGACATTGGAATTAGCGACTCTCAGCGAAAGGCTGGTATCCCGACGCTTGTGGTGAGGCTTCTGAATTACTCTTCCGGTCACATGCTACGTTATATCATTCGTAGGTCCTCAGTAAGAACCGTAGAACAGTGAAGGTGTTTGATGCTGGCGCTGATATCGAGAAGTACGGCGAAGCAGCTGTTGATCGTTGGTAAATGTTTACTTCTCAAAATCCTTGTGATGAACCTTTGTTCACCATAACGAGTGTTATTACTCGCAGTTCCACAATTTTGGTGTCGTGTTCGACGTAAAAAGAGTACTTCAGGGTTAGTAGAAAATGCGCAGTCATTAAGAGTTGCGTCGATCAAGCGTGAGCGAAAGAGAGTTTTCGGTGACGTTGAATCTGATGAAGCCATCAGAATAGCGAGATTCGTTCTCCTAGGAGACGTCTGTGTGTTTTCACTCTCCTCTCATCCGCTCCATCGTAATCGTCAAAAACCTACAGGGTAATGCACATGCGCTTCCTAGCTAGGGATAACTTGGCCGAGTTTGACAAGAAACAGACATTGAGCTCTTAAAAGTCCGCATGTGTTCCCTCCGTTCCCCCACAGACGATCTTTGAGGAACACGAGACTAACTAGAAACACAGGGTATGAGAGTATCTCACCACGGAGAACCAACATCACTACGCTGACGGGTTCACCAGCGTCATCGAAACCCTTGTGCTCACGTATGATATGCTCAATGCTTTTGAGATAAATCTTAAAGGGACATAGCGGCGTCCCCCTACAGCTTACACCCAGGGTTAGAGTTGCATCTGTGGTGCATGAAACGGCTGAAGTTGAAACGGCTGAGTTGTTGGGGACGAAACGGCTGGCATGTGAGTTAGAGCAACAGGAAATAGTTATAACTTGTGTGCGGTACAGAGTCCATGGAGAGAAGGGAATACCACATAGTTAAATTACCTGCAAGTCTACATGCTCTGTATCACCTTCAAGTTCGCCGCTATTGTCATTTCACTGTCCTCCGTTGTTACGGCTGGGCTTAAGCGTCCTGGTCAAGACAAGAATGCATGTAAGTTGAACTTACCAGGCTAGTCTTTGGCTGGCTTTTTGAGGTGTCCTTACAGATCTATTTGGCTTTTTGTACTTCAGGGCGCCCAAGAGTTGAAGCCGAGTCAGAAAATGTGAACTACAGACACTACGCCAATGGGCGTGGACGGGTTAAAGACAATGGTAAACCTGAGTGCGATGGAAAATGGAAAGACGCAGAGATTTACGGTGCTCGTAAGAAGACTATCAAACAGTGAGTCATTTCAAGCTATTAAACATCTCAGTCGGTGCTTCGAATTTACAATTCCGCGCAGGTTTTGTATTCGTCTTCATGAGAAACATCAGGACGATGATGGTTACACAAAACTCTACAACCAATACGGTGAGTTGCTCCTGGTGAAGTGAAGCGCTTTTCATCCCATCCTCCTTCGCAGATTGTCTACTAGATCCTAATGATGTTGGCAACGATCACGGTCGGAAGAATAGAGATTGGCTGTAAGCTTTATATCATGTCCTGCGAGCTGTTCTCTTGTATATGACAATTACTTGCCATTGATAAGCATTGCACCCTTGGACCTGTGTCAGGTGTTATGAACAGGAGCCAAGCTTTGTCCTACTCCCCCCTCATGGACCGCCTGTCAATGAAAGCTGTGTCAAAGGCAACAGGGCGTGGCGTGCTGTATCATGTGAGTCGACCTTCGAGGCTTGCTATAGGATTCGCTCGCTTCAGGGTATCCTGATAATAGTCCTCCACCGTGGTGTCCCTATAACTGGTACGCGAAAAGACAAGTGTGCTGGTGTATGCCTGGTTTCTACCGTGAGTCCCCTTACGACACCAGCTTGAATAAGAGGTGAGGGAGACTTTCGATCATCGACTGAGTCTAAAGTTTCTACCCATTGCAACTGGTTTCTCTCAGAGGGTGTCCTGAGAAGGCCATCTTCATAGTTCCGCAGTTCGTCCGGAGACGGGAGTGGATCGAGTTCCAGGCCACTACTACCACGACTACCACTAAAACGTCCACCACAAGTACGTCCTCGTCTACGACGGTCGCCACTACTACGACCAAGGCTGCCAGCAGTAGCGTGATTATGTCCGCTAGTACCACTGCGGTTGCAGCTGTCCGAGAAACAACCCCGGCCATGCTAAGAACTACGGTGATTGCCAGGACTACGACCGTAGCTACCACTAAACTAGCAATTTCCTCTACGGTCTCTGCTAGCATCGCCACCTCGCCAAAGTGTATTTGTCCTTCGCAGAAGCCTTTGCTACCTGCTGTATTCTCGACTACATCGGCTATTCTCAGTACTCTTCCCTCTTCGTCAACTTCGCAGGCGACAACATCAAATTCAGTGGATAATGATGGTGTCAAGCGAGACAATACGTTCACTACTACACCGGTTGTTCCAGGTGAGTCTTACACCACTCTAGGTTTTAGTCTTCATAATGAGCACACTGTCAGCTGTAGTTTCATCAGATGTTGTGGATTGTGGCGATAACGGTTCTTGGTCCAGAGTCAATGGAAGCTGTGTTTGCAACGAAGGATGGGAAACAGCTCCCCTTCAGTAGGTTCAATTGTCCAGCGTTGACTATTGTCGCATGAAGAAGATCGTTGACTGAAGATGTTATCCCGTTGTTTCAGGCGACCTTGTAGTAAGAAAATTGGCGGCTTGGCTCTCTCTGCTTCCTCGGAAAGCTCGAGCGGAGGTGGAGGTGTGGTCTTGGTTGTCATCTTGATAGCCCTGATCATTTTGACCGTTGCTTATTTTACGTAGGATTATATTGATTAGTCTCATCTGAAGCGACTTCATCTTACGCTCTTTCAGGTGGAGGTATCTGCGAGTGGGTAATATCCGCATGTCTCCGTATTGTTGGAAGTGTCCAACCAGTTTGTCCTCTCACTCAAGATCTCGGAGTTTCGCTCCGGGTCGATTTTAAGTCGCTCAAGTGGATCAGCTGGTCCAGATTATATAATTGGCTATTGTCTACATCTCTCCGTAACGTCAGGAGTACCCTGTTCGGGCACTGATGTACTGGTTTTGAGTGATATACTATGCAATGGAGTACGTCTTTCCGAAAGTATGAAGTAAACTTCATTACTAGAATATGGCATCAGCGGTTGAGTTTGTAGTTGCGGGGGAGGTCACTGAACATGAGACTCTTGGGAGAGACACTCAAGTCGAAACTACCTTCAGTGATTATTGATATTGAAATCATTGACGTGTATGTAATTCTCAACTGCGAATGAGACGGTCTCGGAATTGATAGGTCAGCAATGATACAACAGGGCTCGTGAAAGCATTCGTAAGCACCCGCTACCACGTCATTACGCGCGAGTTCATGGGATGACTTCATGGGATATGAATGTACGAGAATTCAGCTGAAGTGATACTCCTCATCAAAGCGGCATGAATGACATCTCGATCGAGTTACGCGTAGGCTCTCTCAGCCTGTAGAGTTGACTTATTCTGCTAGTGACGTAGGGAGCGGTGCGTGATCGAACGTGATAGGTTCACTGGGCATGTTGATCCGTGTCCGTCTCGACGGTTAAATGGAACTAATCAAGGCCCTTAAGAGCATCCATTCTAGCACAAGATGCGTCCCTGGGCTACCGCTTGTAGATAGAAGAACTGGGTGTGCGCTCATCAGCCTCAGTCGTTTCGCATAGATGGCAGGAAACCGTTGTAGAAACGGCCAGTAATGAAGGAGTTCCTGGTCAAACAATCCTCAATATCCAGCCTTCATGAGGTACTCGGATGGGTTCACGTAGTTGACTTTATAGCAGTAATGATGTGCCGCAGTGTGGTATCCATCGTCGTCATCGTCTATATCCGCCCTGTGCTTGCAGGATTGAAACGGCCGGACCAAGATAAGAAAGCATGTAAGAGCTAATGGAGATGTTCATGGTTGTTGTAGTTATTATTCTCGTCATTTCAGGGGAACCGAAGCTCATTGCTGCCTCAAACGGCATCAATTACGATTTTTTCGCGAATGGGAACGGTGTCGTGAGGATGGATGGTCGTTCTGAATGCTACGGGAAGTGGCAGGATGCAGAGATATATGGTGCCCGGAAAAAAGCGATAAAACAGTGAGTTCTTCATCCTGCAGTTTCTCTCATTATCATCGTTTATGTTCCAATGTAGGTTTTGTGTGAGAATCCACGAGAAGCATCAAGACGATGATGGTTACAAGTCACTTCCCAGAGAATACTGTGAGTTCCCGCTCAGTGACCTTTCAAATTGCTAAACGCCTCCTTGTTATTCGCTATCACTGTCCACATTATTCCACACAGATTGCGTATTTGACCCGAACGACAAGGGTAACGATCACGGGGTGAGGAATCGTGATTGGCTGTAAGATGGAAAATCACCGATTCAACATGACGTTCCGGATCACTTCTGTTAACTGCGGAGGCGGGGTGAATGATCACGCTGTCATCACGTTGCTCGCAGATGCTACAGAAGGAGGCGTTCGGTGTTGGCCTTACCTCCTTACGGTCCACCTCTCAACGCGAGCTGCCTATCGACCCATCCCCAGTTCAATGCTCTCTTCTGTACTACTAACGCTCTTCTGGCTCTTGGCAAACCACTGTAGCAACCCGTCTCAGGGTATCCCGATGAAAGTCCACCTGAGTGGTGTCCCTTCAACTGGTACGCTAAACGTCAAGCTTGTTGGTGTATGCCAGGATTCTATCGGGAATCACCCTACGATACGAGCTTAACTAAGAGGTGAGCTAAGGAGGATGAGTATGAATCATTCCAACGTTCGGTTCCACCTCCGATCCACCTCTGCATTGTTCCATCTTGATCTTCTATTCAGAGCTTGCCCCGATCGGTCTGTGCTGGTCTTACCGACATTCGTGAGCTGGATTCAGTGGCTCAACCTCCAGACCACGACCACCACTACAACTACTACTACTACAACAATTTCGTCGACGAACACTAGCGCAACTACTACGAGGGCTAAAACAACCTCACTCACTGCCTTGCAAGCAACTCCGTCTCAAAGTTCGAACGTTTATGAGCCAACTTCCTCTACCCGGTGTATTTGTCCTCGGCAACCACTGACGACAGGATTCACCTCGGCAACGCAAGCAATACCTTCAGCCCTTACCCCCACGACTTCATCACCCGCCGATGACAGAATCGACAAGGAAGCAGGAAATTCTAAGACTGGTGAGCTGTCGCTATCAGGTGCATCTGATGGAGACTCAAGGAATTGCTCCGCGATGGAGTCAATGGGCTGCTTTCAGGACTTACCGATTGTGGTGAACACGGCACATGGTCTTCGACCGAGGAATCTTGCATATGCAATGATGGATGGGAGACCTCGGGCTCCAAGTGAGTGGCAATACTCAACACCGCGGACCAAACCTGGCCATCTGATTCTGACAGGCCTTGCAGCAATCGCATATTCGAGTCGGGAGACCGGGTACGTTCTTAGGACCGTCGTAAGAGAGGCATCATGCGCTTGTTGCAGGGATCTGGAGTCTCCTCATCGGAAGAGTTCGCAGGCAGTGATGGGAGCAAGTTTGTAATCGTCGTGGCAACCATTGCTCTTCTAGCTGCAAGCTATTTTGCGTAATTGACGTTCACGTATTGAGCTCTGCTCATTCTCCTGTTCAGATGGAAGCGTTGGGCGCCGCGCAGTTATTCGTGCCTCTGGCCTTCATCCAGGTTCACGAAGCTGTCGCGTGGCCGATACAACAGCTTTATGCCACGACGCTATTGACTCCCTGCTCTATCGCTGTACATATAATTCACTCAGCAAGCTAAGCATTATTAGTGTTCTCGAAGTAGTTTAGATGAGATTATAACACTCATGCCATTGACATACAGTCGACAGCAGTGTGTACGTGGAGTATGAAGTAAATTTCATCACCTCCTATGGACCACTCTTGTTGTGTGGGAAGTCGAGGGGATATTGAGAAAGGACAAAACTGACAAAATCATCGAAGTCGTTCTTGAACACATTGTGAGAATTCCGGGAATTTTCAGCCCAGGCAGAATTGGTCAGAGTTCCTCCATCCTTCCCAACGGCGTCTACAAGTCACCCTGGCAAGTTGGGAGCCTTCCTCACGTAGGAGATAGTTCGGGTCAGCATGAAAACCTCCATATATTCCAAGAGAGTTAGACCGTTCTGGTCTTACGACTAACCACGTGCAAGTCAGCTCGGCAACTAAAATACCAGCGGAAAATTTGGGGGGGGGGGGGGAGCCGAACCCTTAATTCTCGAGTTATTTGCTGCTTGGTCCACTGCCTCTGTGTGTTGCGAGGGCACCACATGACGTGATAAGAAACTGGTTGAGCTCCCGTCTAGCCTCCTATCGAGGCTCACCCCGAACCTTCAGGTGACCATAGCTGATATCAGTCGCAGTATCCTAGTTGGTACATCTTCCACATCCATGTTTCCTCTAGTAGAGTGACCCGGAGAACAAGATGGCCAATCGAATAACTCTACGCGATGGGTCACCTTGATAGGTGCCATGAGTCGTACTAGCTACAGCTAAGGTTCGCCTACCGAGCGGAGGATTCAAACTTCTTTCATCAAGATTGCCACTCGGAATGATTCATGCGCATTCAAGTACTTCACTCTGCGTTCGATGAACCCTCCCTCCAACTAGGGAAACACAAGTCAGCTATAGTTGGATAAGACTGGGCCATATCATGCCGCATGCTGCAGATCGTCGACACTTGAGGAAGAGTGTGCGCCCTCAATATTGTCGCTGATGACTCACTTGTGGCTGCCGAGTCCTTTTCCACTATGTGAAAGGTAAGGGAGCTGGTAAGTTGAGAGTAACCGTTTTCAATTCAGGCTTGACTTTGACCGTTCCGATAGAGCTGCCTGACATCACAAAGGGCACCCACGGAAAAGACCATCGTACTACTTCAAAAAGTGGATGATGACGCTCGAGTTGAACACGAGGCAGTGAGGTATGCAAATTCAATAGCTGTTCTTCAACCAGCCTCCCCAGACAGGCGTGTACAGCTGCTATAGGCCCTGGCCATACAGCGAGTGAAGCTAGCAGCTAATTTTTTTTTCAAAGACGGACCACTCAACGTAAATATTGTCGAGTCGGCCTTGAATGCCTCCCTGCAACCAACATCCAAGTCGCGGCATCGCTCCGCCTGAAACAACAGCTGCCACCATACGAAGCCCGATTCCAATACTACCAAGCATCGTCGAGATATTTCTGGTGAGCTTTGGGTTAGCTCGACATGGATGTCCACCTGATGACACCATCGCTGCCAGTACCGTGTCCATACTACTACTGAGACATCCGATAGCACATTGAGTCTACTCTCGGGGATCATGCTAGGCCACATGGATGATCTGCAGCATGCCATAGGTAGACTCAGCAACCTTTCGGGTGCTCAATTCACCGTATGTGGCGGTCTTGTTGAGTTGCCGTTATGACCTCCCTCACGCCCAGCAGCACCTGCATGGTCGAGCCAGTGACCTCCACCAACCGGTCGATCCCACTGGCATCTCGCGGTGATATCTGAGCCAGGCGAGGAACTATGGTAATCATAAAAAGGTGGTGGATATGACCGATATCCTCGACTGTGATCTGAGACACATCTCCTTGTGGGAGGCTCCACGTGGCCCCAAGATGCATGGAACGGAAGTGTCGGGGATCTACCGAGAAGGACACTCCAGCAGCAACAGCAGCAATCGCCAAAGCCGACGAGTAATCTTATGAGGAAGTAGCCATAGGGAGGCTCTCTGCGTTGGACAACTTCATGTTGTGATGGAGGTGAACGGACCACATCCATCCGCCCACCGAACTCGACTGGTATTCTACTCAGCTCAGTGACGGGATGACAGCCTTCTGCAGCGAAACACTTCCTGCATATCTACCGAGAAAGCACCAGACGAGTCAACACCCAAGTTAGAGCTACCTCCTCGACTGCTAATAGAACATACTGCAGCCCTCCAGATAGTGTCACAACTCTAGCGCCATCATATGCTGCAGTGCTCATCTAGCAGCCCATGCTCATAATTCTATTCACTTTCCACAAGACTAGTGTACAATACCTCCGACATTCTCAATCTTGTGTGGGTCCTCACAGCCAAGTCCCTAATCGTCCTACCTCCTCGACCAAGGATAGAACCAACAGTACCCTGATGGATGAGTACCTAGCTTCACAATTGCACCCACTAGCAACAGCATCAGCAGCTGTTGACATACCCTTGCATAAGCTATAGGCGACTCAGATGGTACTCCTTTCGACCCCCTTGGTAAGGATTGTTCTGAAGGACCCTCTGACGAGTAACTGCGCATGGTGAGGGTACAACTGCTTTCCCCGTCGAGGATTTAGGAGCAACACAACTCTTAAGCTGATGGCAATGATGTAGTACTAGAGTGAATATATTCAAAGTATAATCAGCTTGGACAGATACCCAACGGCACGACGTGTATCAGCAAAGGAGGCTCAATAGTACACTGTAGTGATACGGAAAGTCTTCCTTCACTACCGAGTCAGTGAGGCTTTAAGATCCTACTGAGGACCAGGGAACATATAAAAGCCATGGGCCTTAGTAAAAGTATTAGAAGGGACGTCCAAAGCCATATCTAATCATCCAACAAACAGCATAGTGTACAGCAAGCACATGCACCTGAGGAGGAACAGGCTAATGACTACAGCGTGTGGTACTACTTACCCAATAGGAATGCACAGCAGGTATCATCAGAGTGCTTTCCGTGATTAGGTGAGCTAGTGGTATAGATGACTTGCTGAGGAGGAGCATTGTACGGCTGTGCATATGGTGGAGGCTGCGAGCCAGTATTATAACCACCATAAGAAGTGTTGCCATCAGCATACGGTATGTTACTGGGAGGAGGGCTGTATCTGAGGTATAATATACCTGTTGGAGCCCTGTTGCCATCACCTTACGTAGGAGCCGCTCCTGTAGCCCCTGGGGTCTGGACCTGAGATACATGACTGCAATATCGGATAGTACAGCAACGTTTGGCAACGGTCCAGCCCGTCCAGCAGCTAAGTCCGAGTAAAGGCGGCTCTAGAGAGCTGCCGCGTGAACGGGTTGTTGAAGTACGCAAGGAGTGGTACAAACACGAGGCGTTTGCCTCACCTGGAATGTCTGGCCAGAATACACACCTTGTGGGACTTGAACCTGCAGGGGAGTCCCTGTAGCAGGATCAACAATCTGAATAGTGCTCCCGGGTGAGGCTCCAGAGGGTACTTGGACTGTGATGACAGCCATGCGAAATACTGGGAAAACTATCAAGGCGGTGTACTCCATTATAGGGAGCTGTTAGATCCTATAACATTGAGGAAATCCTTTTCCTCGCAATCCATCTGATCCTGCTCTTAATAAGGGGGCATAGCACTGGAACGATTCACCACAGTTTCATAATAATTATTATCCCCATGCTAACAGCCTATCATCAACATAATACAACCAACTTCTTATTCACTATAGAGATCATTATTATCAATCTTACTAATAGCAGCAGCAGCAGAGCAGACTCCTTGAGGAGGAGGAAGAGCGTTATTAACGTTAGTGCAGCTCAAAAACTTCATCAACCAGATGGGGTACTGGTATAAGAGTTCGCCGATTTGCAATCAGGTAGGGAGGTTGCCGCAGCTTGCCAGTGATCAGTCCACTCTGGAGACTGCCTGTCACTACCGCCGTCAGTGTTGTCATCATCATAATCGGCCCATTTACCAAAAAAATGCCATCTTCGATCGACGTTACTGTCTACATACCACCAATTGCCTCCTTCCTCAAACCATTTATACTCCATAGCCCTGTTCTCATCATAGGTGTCACTTCTAGGACTATCTGGAGTGGCACTCTCGGTGTCACTTCCCTTAGGCAAGGAACGCAGGAGGACCTTGTTGGTCATGACCTCACCAGGCCTGTGGGGTTGTCGACAGAAGGGACACATCATTCTCCCCACACCTCGTGACCGAGCAAGTTCCTCTATGCAGAGGGCACACAGGTTGTGGCCGCAAACGGACAGTAACTATGGACAACAGTGTGAATATGAATTAGATATAGATGCCTATTAGCCCACCATAGGAGAGTGATCAGCTCTATCAAAGGGAGCCGAGCAATACTCGCATATGAGGTCACTGTCGTGGAAGGATTCAGCCATTTAACGAAAATAACCTCAATCTATACCATCTCTTAGACAAGCTTATCATGAATCTTTCGCATACTGATAACTACGTCAAGCACAGACGCTCCCTCGAAGTTGCTGCTCCTAATTCATCTAGTAACAGTCGTTGTTATGCAATGTAGCGAACGACGACGCTACAATGGATGGAACCCACTATTCATATTCAGACTTCCAATTACCAGGATCGACATTCTTACGGAGTGCCACTTTGGCTGGTATACCCCGATGGTACAACAACTATACTGAGACTTCAAGTCTGCTATCGAACATCAAGTGACAGTTGAACTTGCGCGGCACTACGGCCTGCGTCACGCCAAGATTATCTTTCTCTCTCGCGACACGACGAAATCGCTAAAAAATGGCCGTCCTGGGAATCGAACTCGCGTTACTCCGCGTACAAAGGATTCACTAACGACATACTGCTACAATATAATAATACTCCGTCGATAGTGAATTATAACAGGAACAATCACGGTACGAAAAGTTCTATTGCATAGTGTATTCTGAGGCACATAGCCGATCCACTGGGACTCCCCATTAGGCAGCGCGGCAGTGTTGACGATTGAGAACAGTTGAGCTGGTATGAAAGTGAGCTTCAGTCAGTGAGGTTCGATGTTCGAACGATACGTCAACACTAATGTGAGAATAGGCTCAAGGAATAGTATTCGAAAATTATGTGCGTGAGAAACCATCTGTATAAAATCGTGTTCACCGTCAGTCTTGTTATCATTGAATACCATCTCTCACTGAATACTATTACCATTTATTGAGGAGTAGCCGAGAGTGTAGGGGTTTGATACGACTCACTGCCGATAGCACGACCAAAGGCGCTTCTACATCACTAGGGAACCCAACGCGCCTTATTAATGGAAATTGCGAGGGACCCATCAAGACGAGAGTATTTCTTGCATCGTTAACTCTCCTCCCTCTTGCTGTTGTCGATACACGGATGACACACAAGTTCGGCGAGGAACAGTCTCAGGCTCCTTCGAAATAGCATATAAAGCACAAGGCAACACATCGTATGTGAAGTGCTGAATCGGGGAGATCCACGGATCCATGTAATTGAAGCTACCCAATCTCGATTGGTTGTTGACCTGATGGCAGAGCCTCGTCAGGATCATCATCATCACTCATCGTAAACACTCACCTGAATAACGCCCGAATCTAACATAGCATCAGCATTCACTTCGATCTCTGCGGAGAGCAGTCTGGGTTCAAACTCGTCATTTTGAGTAGTTCGTATGGATCATGGACAGACTTGTACGTACCTACACAGATGGTCACAAGCGCAGACACTAAGTCGGAAGCAATAGCAGTTAAGAGCTGCGATGGTAGTAAAGTGAGCAGGAGTATTACAGCTTCCCAGCTGCTTACTGGTTCCAGCTCCCAAAGTCTGCAGTCATCCTCAGGATCAACATACAAGGACTGTCTGAAGAACCCCCGGCCAGCATCAGACTCCGATACCGGTACAAGGTAGTGACCTCTCGGACACTGAGCGCGGCATGGATTAAGTGACGTCATCGAGGGGGCGTCTTACCTCATTAAAAACATTCCTAGCCTTATGTTGTTGTAAAGATGCAAGACCATACTCCGAAGGGTACACACGATTCATCTCCAACTCGTACCTCTTGTCTTCACGACAAGTAGGTTTAGTCCCATCAAGACGGCACACCTGTCGTGCTTGATCTACTGCATTCTTCACACCCTCAGCATTGAGAGGTCGTGAGCTGACATAAAATGCTGCTATTCCATAGAAAAGGATGCTCAATATCGGCACAAGGGCAAAGGTGAGCCAAAATCGTAAACGGCAGTATGAGTGCAATTTGCAGCTGGAGCTGCTAGTAGTCGTTCTTGATGGGCCTGGGTTTTTAGTGGGCATGAAATTATGAGATTGGACAAACTTCTAGAAAATACAAACTGAGCTCACACAAGATAGCAGACGAGTGAGGATACCTTCCCTACAAAACACTAATGCTGGTTCATTGACGTTTCTCGAGATTGCTGTATGATTGGCAAATACTTTCCCCGCGACCTCTTGCTAGAACCCGATGGGGGAGCGAGCGAGTAGTAGATTATTCATCACCCAGAGGAAGAGCTGAGCCTTTGAACTATTGCTCGACTGGTATCAGACACGCCTCTCGAAATGGGTTAGAGTCCAGAGCAGTGCCGATTATCCGATACCAAACTTGCCAATTCTCCTGTATTGAAGCCTGGTGAAGTAACACGTCGTTGATCTCATCTTCCAGTGCCCTAGCATCAGCAGCAGAGCCTTGATGTGAGAGATGATCCTTGAATTCAACACCGGCAGCATGCCAGCACCTGCTATCTGGTGAGCCCAGGGTAAACATACCTGATTCTGAAGTACAGCCTGAAAAATGTAGCAGAGTTGATAACATAACTCGAGTACTTGAGCCTCCTGCCAAGTTATATGAAAGTGAGCGCCTGCGTAATAGTGACGTGGGGTCTACAGCGGTCCGAGCCAGCGCTTTCCTTGTTGCTACTTCCTGCAACGTCTCAATGAATAACGTCAATAATCCTCTACAAACTATATGGCTCACGTGAACTCTGCGAATAAGGATGCAGTTATTGCATGGAAGCAAACAACTCACCTTGAACGTGCAGGCTTAGTCGTCACCCATAGGTTTACTCTCAGGCACTGCGTGGAACTGCGCTGAGCCTACCGTGGTCTAACCCAGCCGATTCCCCATTCAATGTATATTCACACGATGCGTGTATGAACATTACCATCACAATGAGATTTGTATTTTTGGCGGAGCGACGCAGCGGCCACGCTGAATCGATAGGAAAGTGCATTTTAGGGTAAAGGTTTGAGACTCTGCTCAATTATGGGAGACACCAATCCTTCCGACGATGAGGTTACTGGTTTCGTTATAGAAAGTATAAGCACATCGCATGATACCATTGATGATGATTCTCGGGTGGCCCAATTAGTCTTGGAGTTGCTTCAGCCTGGTTATCCTTGGGGGTTCGTAGCTGACGAGGATGACATGCTTACCAAAGGCTGAAGAAATATGATTCTGGGCATGCACTAGTGTCGGGAATAACTCTTCACCGCCGCCGAGCGCGGCCCCGTCCTGGTCTCCTCAGAAGAGTATTGATTATGGACATACATATACCGCTTATCTCTACATGCGTGTGATAGAAACACTGCTTGGCGATGAGTGGGGGATTCTCGAAGATCCAGGATCTTTCGGACTACATATATTCTATTCTAGCATATGATCATTGCTCTACGCTTTTCGAACTGGTCCAACATCCAACCCAAGCGGTCATGGCACGAACAAGGGGAGGTAGTAGCTCCCCTTGTCCGTTCCGTGATGGCTTGGTGAGCATCGTAGTACGATGCTTATAGCGAGGCAGTAATAAAGGTGTTGATCTTGTAGGGTGGTCCTCCTATATTCCACCCCAACTCAATCACTCCGTTAGCTGCATACTGTTCGTGAACTGTGAATGGCTCTCCTATAGGCACGGTCTGTGAGCATCTTGCTAAGCATTCTCCGGGAGCATTGATGCGGAGTCCACAAGTACATCATACTCCAAACAGTTCATGAACAGTTCTTCATGTCCATCTTGAGTGGTCCCTTTAAGACTAGTTGAGGCTTTGCTGCTGTGGACTTCTTATTAGCATCTTCCTCTCATAGTTAGATGCCCACCGATCATCATCACCCAGTAGGACAGCGCTACTCCCCTCTCACTGCTGCGTCGTCTGACACTGAGGTCTCTACTGCTACTCCACTAGCAGGAAAGAGAGTTGCCGTCATTGGATCGGGGCTGGCAGGTAGTAGTTACCGTTAGTGCACCACGTATTGGACATTATCGCTGAGGTCGGGGATTACCACCCTCCGTGATACTGTCAGTGCTATCGTGCCGCCTTTGGGGTTCACTTCGTCGATCATTCGGATTGGAAGGGCTTATATCGATATTAGGTCTCACTACTGCCTGGGCCCTCTGCAGTGGTGTCGGTAGCGCCATAGAGGAGGTTACAGTATATGAGCGTGCTGACAAACTAGGACTATATAGTCAGTCGTTGGAGTAGTAGTAGTACAGCAGTCTTCATTATCAACATTGTGCTCAGGTACTCTCCTACACTGACAATAGATGTACCCTACAGAGCGACCAGCGGGGCGTACTACCCTACGCTCACTAGGCTCTGCTATGTACTGGGCATTAGTTTCGTAAAGTCAGATTGGCCAATATCGTGCACTAAAGTCGAAGGCTCTCAACGAAGACCCTTCTTTGAATTCCGTAACTGGATCCTATCTCTTGGTAGTATCCAATCCTGAACTGCCACAACGCCTTCTTGTACTCAGGTTCGCTTTTTTCAATCAAATTGAAGGTACCGATAGTCTCTTCTCTCAAGAGCCTACTGTTCACAATATCCACTGTTTTCAATATTATCCATTTTACTATCACTATCCCCTCATCCGCTGCTACCACGCATTTACGGGATATAACAGTAGCAGATTGGATGGCATCCCGAGCCTACTCCGATGAGTTCATCTACTCTGTCTTCCTTCCATGGCTCGCTATTTTCTGCAGCCTCAGCGTGCAGAGTGCTGCCCTTTGCCCTGCAGATGTTGCAGTGGAGTTCCTGAGGGCCCACTGGGGTGATGCCAGGGATTTCTGGAGGAAATGGGGTGACTTGGGCGATGATAACTGCATAAGACGATTTGCTGGCAATGGGATTAGAACCCTTGCGGAAAAACTGGTAGAGGATTCTAAGATTACGGTCAAGTTAGCGACCGAAGTGGACAACCTGGAAGCTCTACTGAGTGTTTATGATTATGTGGTGGTGGCCACAGAAGCGCCCACTGCCGCTAGGCTACTTGAGTGTGTCGATGCTGAGAGGGCCGCTCTGCTGAAGCGGTTGAAGCACGAGCGTAGTGTGGTCTGGATGCACAGAGACCTTCGCATGCTCCCCGAGGTGACCAACACTTCATGGCGTTCTGGACTTAATCTCTTCATCGATTCCTCTGCTGCTGCCAATTGGAAACCGTTAGTCACTACCAAGCCGATAAACGCATGTAGTACCCGGGCGAACGTGGGGAATGGGCAGCAGCAGCAGTAGGAGCCACCACTTCCTTAGATGTATCAGTGTATCTACCATCATGCGACGCTGAACTGAAGAGTGAGACAGAAAGCAAAGGGAAGGATGTGGTAATAGTAGTAGTGGTGCTGCAGCAGTGTGAGTAGTAGATGGTGGTGGTGATACCTGGTTTTAAGGTAATCCAGACGTGGGCACCACTTGGATTGGTGTCACCAGAGCCTAAAGAGCTCCTTCGCAAGGCATCCTACTTCACTCGTCCTGTTCTTACAACAGACTACTTCAACATAGTATCTACCTTGGTTAAGTCCAACGGGCGACATAGAACATATCTAGCTGGCAGCTATAGTTATGCTGGCAATAGGAAGATACCTCTCTTGGAGAATGCTATGCTATCGGTATGATTCTTGCGAGTTTTCTGAAGCCTATGAAACGCTAGGTTTTAGGATCGCTTTTTCCGGTGCCGTTTCCGTCGTGTTGAAATGCATTCGCTTCGAATTAAAAACATAGGTTTTTGGAATTTGAGTATTTAGTTAGTCAACCCATCGTGCATTCTCAACGTAGTGTGCCTAGAGACTGCTTTCTTACAGGGAATATCAGCGGCGGCCAAGATCTTGGGCGTCACCGAGGACAAGCTTCTAAAAAGCACACTTGGCTTGTGATAGCTCACTGATGCTGTTCACATGCTGAAAGTACAGCTAGGAGGTTTTTTGAAGCCTCACATGGTCAGGGTTTCGCAGTAGGCACCTCTGGTGGTATTGGGTTTTCTCTAAATGCCGCTTAATACGTGGGAACGTTCATGGCTGCCTATTCTGGCTAGTCAGTGAACACGTGCATTCGTGAGAGAGGCAGGCGTTAGGTTTCTATGATTTATTCGAGTATAGAGCTTAGCAGTGACCATAGTGCAATCAAGTTTGCCACGAAATTTCGAGGGTTTTCCTTATCGTAGCACAGGGGTACAAGTTTATCATACAACGATCCCACATCGAAGAGTTCACACGAGGTAGAACGAGAGGTGCATTGATCTCAATACAATTATCATCGCACAGTTTCTTGGAGAGCTCCTGTAATTGTGGAAGCGGGTTATCCCGGGAATAGATGGTCACTCTAAGCGTTGCCTCGCCCTGATCCCCCGTCAGTTGATGGACTGCATCGATGCTAGTCCAATTAAGCCGTATCATCACATTGGACTTTGATTACTGTGTGTTGAGGTCATGCATGAGCAACCTGCTGACTCGAACTCGACCGTCAGCATTGTTTATGTCTAATCAATAGAACTATGATCTAATAAAAATTAACTGAACTCTCTGACTGGTACCGTCTCCTGCCAGAATTGTCTATAGAAATCGAAGAACTCCCCAGAGGTGCTCACTTTGTACCTTATCGTCGCAATACAACATGAACATGAAGTGTGTGGACTTACGGTGTGGGGTTAACGGGTCTAAGATGATCCTGTCTAAAGGACCGCCTGACCTTATCGAACTGTTCCCTGGCACTATGGATGTCCGGACGGTCCCCTCCTGCTGTCTTAGGGGATAATGACAGGTGACTGGCTTTACCTACAGCATCGAAATTGTGCGGGTGATAGAAGTCTATCAGTACCATGATCCCAAATACAAACGAGCATATTCTTTACTCGTTCAGGTCTCACATAGCATCTGTGAGAAGTCAATGATGATCGTGATAGCAAGTGTCGAATATACTACCTCTTTTGCTCGTCGAACAAGTGGCGGCAGAATACCCTCTCATGGGGCTTCGGCTCCGGCTCATCAACCCCTTGCATCAAGTCTAGTATAGGGATACCATCCATACCGTAACTACCACAACAAAAGGTCATAATACAGTGTTGCATCCGATTATAGTAGTACAGACGGAATAGCGCCTTCCGCGATGGGATTCCCTGTTTGGCTATGTCTTGAGATAACTTCATCTTGGGCTGATCATTCAACTCAACTAGTTTGTATCTACCATGAATAAGCTCAAGTGAGGTAGCAGACATACGGACCCACACCATCCCCAGGGCTGGTTGAGCTTGGCAAGTCACCAGATTGGTGCCTACTTTCACACGTCCAATGGATGAGCAGTAGAATTCTCTTACCAATGCCGAATGAATCGATACAATGCTTCTGTTCCTTGAGGGATATCATCACATCCTCGTTAATATCATTGGACACTACTATAGTGGCTATAAGAAAACCACAATTGATAGCTATGAATTGACATACCAACACTCACTGGTTTTTATGAAGGAGAATCCCTCAGATTCGAACGCATCACCAGCACGAAGGAAGAGCTCTCGAGTCTTGATACTGAGATATCTGAGGTGAATGCAGAATAAAGAGCAGGACTGAGGGGTTAGGAGAGGAGGAGGAGGACCTACGCCAAATCGCCACTGTCTAGACGTATCCCTATCGCCTTGGAGGAGGCGATCCTCCATAGACCAAGGGCAACACTGATGAAGTTGGGGATGCCAGAAGATAGAGTCTCGAAGGTATCAACTAGTGCAAGGAAGGCCGATGGGAAGGCCTGGGCGTAGCGTATAAACGCCACTAGTTCGCCATCATTACACATCTCTACCTGATCAATGTGTGGTGGGATATGAGCGACATAAGCTAGTACCCTTAAATCTAAAGCAATGCAGAGGTCTATCCTGGCTCGTACGCAGGCCTGCTCAAATTCTTTGGTTCTCACACGAGCCGAAAGAGGATCATCTAACAAAGATAGCCAAGACTTATACCTCGGGTCTGGGTTATAATTACTCGTATCTGGTGGCCTGCAGGGATGATCAAGATCCTCAAGTCCATGGAAGCTAGTCACGAAGGCATGAGCATGTGTACCACCCAGGGGTATGTCAAATGCATGACCAGCTTTAACGTTGGATGTGGCTGATGTGTTGTAGGAGTACGATAGGAGAGGAGTGTACTACTACCATCAAAGCCTCCAATGTAGGCGTAGCGGCTAGCCGAGAGAGCTCCATCTGGACCTTGGGCTCGACGACAACCGAACTCCATGAGCCTAGCCGAGTCGCCAGCAGCTATACGTAACCTCGCTGCCTGTGTGGCTATCTGTAGTTAGGAGAGCTCATTAGAGGGAAGGGGAGGCCGATACTACTCACAAGACAAGGGAAGTTGAGGAGAGTGAGTATGCCTGTCTCCAGCAGCTGGCATACAATGAGTGGGCCAGCAACACGTAGGACCGGCTCCCGCGGGAATACAAACTAAAGGTGTGGTATGTAGGAACAAGACGAGATACACACCTTACGTCGCCTTCTCTGACAGCATGTATGGTAACGTCCTTAGCATCTAGTGTGAGGAGGTATTGGAAGAACTCATCGGATGCAGTAGGAAGTTGGGTCTACACGACGTAGATACTAACGGAGGGTAGCAATAGTAGTACTCACTTTCAAATACTCTATATTCATTGGAGTGAAACAGAACGTATTGGCGAACCTCACAACCTCGTCTATACCTACCAAAGGGTTGTAGCCATACTAGTAGTAGTGTAATCGTTATATGTCCCTACCAGCACAGACTACGAACTCGCCGTTGAAGGGGCACTTGCGGAAGTAGACGTCAAAGACTGCATGGTCTTCGGTCTTAGCTGCTTGCCTAAATAGCAGTAGTAGCTCATCACCTTGTGGTACATCCCTACTACCAATAAGCATATGCCATAGTTATTTGATATAGGTCTGTTAATGTGGACTCTATAACGTCCGAATGGGGTGTGCCCATATTTGGATCACACCTTTTGCCTCCATGACGGACCCATGCCAGCCCAGGCGAGCCTGGCTTATAGTAGTGAGGGTAACTCTTCCGACGATGCTGCTGCTACTACCTAATTCGTCCTCATCTTCTTGATATCCTCTAGCAATGCACGAGCTACTGCGTAGTTTCGATAGATCCTTCTGATTGCTCAAGTCCACACTATGGTGATGCTGATGATGACCACTAGCAGGAGTAATAGGAATAGGAAGCATTGATGTAGGGAATACCACCGCAGCCTCCTAACACGAGCATATCCTCCTATTCCTGGTGATTCACTCCAGCCCTAGACTATATCAACCATAGTGAAAACCAGATCACGGCTGCTACTCCTTATCATCATGCGATGCTGTGCAAAAGAGCCTCCCGAGATCACATAGTGATAGTATCATTGTCACCGCACATCCTTCCTCGAAGAAGCGCAGACAGCTGCATCAGCTCGGGAGAACACCATATTGATGTTTCTCATCAAACAGGCCCAGGGAAGGGAGAGGGACGGTTGGAAGGTGCCAGTACGGGAGACCTTTGACATAGGGCGCCAGAGGTCTCACCATCCTTCTCTCCGATGGCAGTACCTATTGCCACAAATCATCTTCGACATGAATCTTGCGCTAAACCATCACAATTGTGTCACTACGCCACGAAATACCGCGCTCGCCCATAGCTATTTTGGAGCTTCACGACTGATAGGCCTTTGACTAATACGTCAAGATTAGAGAATTTTAAAGTTAGAATTCCAACTTCACAAACGTAAGAAACCTCTAAGCCTGTTGCACTAATCTGTCGAGTGATGAGAAACTCTTCATCGATTCACGGTTGCTGAATCTTAGTGATGATAGACAAGTTGCGTCCTTACTGACGACGACGACGACGATCACAGTGCTTTACTACGGGCTTTCATCATGTATCGTGGACTAAGCGATGCATAATGAAGAGGTCCAATAGTAGTGATGAAGGCCCAATCCAGGACCTACCAAGGGTAGTGTTTTTGGTAGGTAGTATACAACTAGGCTTACAGTGATAATGGTTGCTCCCGGTAGTACTGATATGCGTGTTTGCGATAGACGCCCTGTTGTGTGAGTAGTAAGTTGGTCAATACTTCCATCGATAGAAGCACCATGAATTTGATGAAGCAGCAGTATCTTAGGGTAGACCTGTCTTGCATAAGGTCGACCATACACTACACGAACCAAGCCTTAGTTTTTATTGGGTATTCGTAATGCGTCGTGGTGGGTTGGGTGCAGCTGGAGTAGCCCGTCGAAGGCAGGAGAATGTAGTACTACTATGTAGAGCATCATAGATAACTAACCTCATGGTCATCAGAGAAAGATGGAGAGTATCGGTGGGTCTTTAGAAACAGTTAGGCTAGAGACAGTAAAGGGACAATGTGATACATTCAAGGCAAGGCTGCAGGTAGCGACCATCGCTCTAGAGAAGCACCAGCAGCAGCGCGTTACCGTTGTCGTGTTAGGAATTCGCCACGAAATATCGGTCCAAGATAGAGAAGGATCCCATCTTCCGTTCACAGTTCCTGGGTATGTGCCAATCAGTGGGTGTAGACCCTCTGCAGTGTAAGGAAGGTCTATCGGTATCATTATCCATCGACACTGGTGTTAGCCACGAAGTCAGTGTTTGGATCAATGCTCGGGCTCGGGCGCTTCTATGCCGAACTAGGTGTGCAGGTAGAGATGTACATCGCCGCTATGCACTCCGAAGGTGTGACACTGGTAGATACTAACACTGTGTCTGACAACGCGTGAGGATAATGGTGGGCTATTGGACATGGATGACTGTTTAGCAATGCTCAGGAAGGTTCGTGCTGCTAAGTCCGATACCATCTCCAGGTGATAATAGTAGTAAAAGGTTCATGAACTAGTGATGTTCCTGTTAGGGAAGATGTGACTAAGGCGATATCAGAGCTGTCAGTACTAGGTGCCGGAGGTGTGAGCATAGTATGGGGAGAGAGAGGAAAGTAGTAGGAAGCATTACCGTCATGCTTACTCTCATATGTGTCATCATCATCGTGTAGGACCTTCATCAGCTCCGTCCCAGATGCCTTCAATGCTGACCAGACTGCAGCTATCAGCTTGATAGTCTCCCGAGGAGGGCATGTATCTGTCAGCGAGTAATGCTACCGTCAGCGATATCGAATGCACACCATCTTACAGGTTAGCGAGACAGCTAGACTGGACACTTGAGCGTACTAACATTGCATCATCATCATTATTACGAGAAGGATTGGTATGGCTAGACATAGACCCTACCACTCAGGAAAGATATTTGTATACTCTCCATGTATGATTGGCCCAACCATTGCACCTTTCGAGTTCCCTCACTTTTGGTTTACAATTTCCTCGTCCTTGTTGTGTGATGAATTAGGGAATATCGAGAGCACTGGTGCATATCTCCATACCATCCCCTCGACTCATCGTCGAACTATCTCTTACCACATCGGGACCGTCAATGAATGGCACATCAGAAAGCCTTCTCCCCATCACCGAAAGGGAGGAGGAAGTGAAGCTCAGAACATGTATCAGCAACCTGGCAATCATAGCAGCACCGCAGGTAGGTATCAAGTCACACGTAGCGGACAACTGCTTGGTGTCAGGTAGTGTCAATGGTATTGAATTACCTACCACAGACCATTAACGTTTTATTCATCAGTAGATTAGGTGACGCTGACATGTTAGCAGCAGTTGGTCTTGCTAACCTAGTGAGCCTTCTCGTAGTATATCGCTATAGCATGCACGATACCATGCAGGTCTTCAACATAGGGGGAGTGTCCTGTGGGTATGGCATAAACCAGGCAATAGAAACTCTAGTATCGCAGAGTGAGTAAACCTTCTTGCTCCTGCAGATGTTATTCATACTCCAGGTCGTGGGCACAGTGGTCATCGATTGGCTTCCATACACATGGCCAAAGGGATGTGTATAGGCCTGCTCTTATCAGTATATCAATACCTCTATGATAATGCCACCTCTGCTATCAGACAATCCTATTCATCGTCCTACAGTTCACTGAGATTGTCCTCAAATTCCTTGGCCAGGATCCTGTGGTGGCTAGACATGCTATGGATTATGTCAGTGCTCCCCTCACTATCCCTTCTAGAGCTCATTATCAGGTTAATAGTGCGAGTATAGGTATATGGCCGGCTATACAATACGACTGTATTATGAGGTTTTTATTATGTTATCATCATCCTCATATATGTACTTGGATATATGCTATAACAGCATCACTCCATGTACGCTATAAAGCATCGTATTGATAGTATGTCTGTTGAAGGTACTCTGGTGTTACCTATTGGTTACACCATCATCAGGTCTGGCTGGTGCAGGTGTAGCAATGACTCTCACATTCACGGGATGTTGGCTACTCGGCATACTGTGAGTAGTAGTAAAGTGTCGATATGATGATATTATCATAATGTGTGTAGATATATTATATTTGCTATGTGGAATCCCTCTATCACAGCTATACCTCGAGATGCTCTACCAACATTCACTTGGAGTATGTTCTATGGATGGTGGGAATACCTCAAGATTGGTATACCTTCTATGATTACCTTATGCTCAGAATGGTGGGCATATGAGATTGCTACACTGGTACCTAGTCCCACTGCTGCTACCGTCATTCATCTACTTGGCAGATAGTCGGCCTTCTCCAGGACTCAGCTCAGCTCGCTGCCCATGTATCTGTGTGTAACGTGTCAGTGCTGGTAGTACAGTGTACCGTGGCGTCGTCGAATGCTGTGTTATTGTGACTCTTTATAGATGTTCATGGTCAGCTATGGTCTACAGGCAGGCCTTAGTGCCAAGATTGGTGCAGCGGTGGGCTCTGGCAACTTGTATCTGGCGAGGATGTCAGCTTTTCAGGGTAGTCGATGATGATGAATTGGTATTATCTCAGGTATTGCAAGTGTGCAACCCTTATGGGAGGGTGTATGCTTGTCGTTATTGAGCTCACCCTCATCACCTTCCGGAGCACCATCGCGAGTTTCTATGCGGCCCGCGAGCCAGAGGTGATAACCATCGTCGTCGTCATCGATGGTAGCAATCAATGTACGTTAGGTATCAAGATACCTCACATTTCTGATCTTCCCCTATCTTGGCATACAAGAGGTTTTTGATTTTGCCCAGGCTTGCATGCAAGGGGTCTTCAAGGGCCTAGGTAAGTAGTAGCCATTACTATCACTCTCTATGATTCATGGATATCCTCGCCTATTATCAGGTATCCAACGGTATGCGGCAGTGGTAAACCTCTGTTCGTATTATCTCTGCATGTTGCCATTGGGTTACCTCCTCTGTGTAGGAGGACTTCACTCCTCTTCTATTGGTAACCTCCCACAGATACATTTCGAGCTCGGTGTATATGGGATGTGGATGGCGTTCATTGTCAGCGTTGCTGGTGTAGCATCATCATATTCTATAATACTCAGAAGTAGGTTGAGGGTAATTCCACTGAGCTCCTCCTCATTATTTTTAGTAGGTACTGACTGGTCGAAGCACATGGATGCGGCTCACGTTAGAATTAAGAGAGCTTTGTGATTGCTCCTTCTCTTTCTTGTTTGCCACCCAAACATGTTGGGATATGCTTCATTAGCTATTCCAACTCTATACGGCATACTGTATTGAAGGTGTGTACCGCTCGCTGCCATGATCCTACTGTGCAGTGGTTATAATGCTTGCCTGCTGCTGTCACCGTTTATCCCATAAGAAGCACTATGAATGTATGACTTATCTCCCACATGTTTCTTCTGCCTTTTCATGTCGCGTTCAAATCCTTATCAGCAACACAATGCCGTGTCCTGAGAAATCTGCGGAGCTTGGCTCAGTGGTTGGTCCCAAAGACAAACGCAACAGCAGCATCAAGTGCATGTTCTTCACGACTCGCACTTATACCCTCACGCGCGTCGCTCCGATGCCCAAGTGCACATAGCGTTCTCTCAAATACCCTAGATGATGAAGATCTGATCCTCTCCGCTGCTCCCGTATTGCTTTCCATTCTCACTCATGTTAATGATGTAAGGGCTTCCTTTGGGAGATTAATGGCGTCTTGTTCGTCACCAGGGCTTGGCAGGTTTGTAGCTCCTATATAAGCCACAATCCCTATATATGATACCATTATTTTCTCTCATCTGCCACACTCATTATGAATTATGAATTACCACAGCCCCTATTGGTTCTCCCACCTAATCGCCTGAAATCACAGGGATTGGCGGCATGTATAAAGTCTCTAGCGAGTATCGGGGGACCTCAAGTAGCATACTAGCTGCTCTACCGAGGTATCACCTATCGTAGGTAATTTCCATGGTGCTCAATTACATACCACAAACCATCAATGTATACTTCATAAGTAGAGTTGGTGATGCAGATATGGTAGCAGGAGTCGGCCTAGCTACTTTGGTAAGCCGCCAAGCTCAAACCTTACCTGAATGGTGAGAATCCCACATGACAGGTCTTCAACATTGGTGGTGTATCCTGTGGGTATGGCATGAACCAAGCTATTGAGACTTTAGTTTCGCAGAGTTGGTTCCTTTCTCTACAACCCCACGTATTGAGAATGTATATCAGGTCGAGGCCAGGGCCATCACAGATTAGCAGCAACCAGTATGGCTCGTGGTATGATGATTGCGGCCGCTTTATCGGTGGATTACCTCACCTCTTTTGGGTATGGACTGTTTCTATCCTCAGACGCTTTTATTTGGACTGCTACAATTCACTGAAGTCTTTCTAACTCTTGTTGGCCAAGATCCTATCATTGCCAACCACGCCATGAAATATGTAAGTACGCTACACTGTGATCAAGTTTCAGGTCCGGGACCTAAAACTACGGGACCCGTAGAACTGCTTGTGGTTGTATGGTCATATCATTATCAGGTTAATAGTGCGAGTATAGGTATATGGCCTGTTATACAATACGACTGCATTATGAGGTTTTTATTATGTTATCATCATCCTCATATATGTACTTGGATATATGCTATAACAGCAGCACTCCATGTACACTATAAAGCATCGTATTGATGGTATGTCTGTTGAAGGTACTCTGGTGTTACCTATTGGTTACACCATCATCAGGTCTGGCTGGTGCAGGTGTAGCAATGACTCTCACATTCACGGGATGTTGGCTACTCGGCATACTGTGAGTAGTAGTAGTAAAGTGTCGATATGATGATATTATCATCTTGGGTGTAGATATATTATATTTGCTATGTGGAATCCCTCTATCACAGCTATACCTCGAGATGCTCTACCAACATTCACTTGGAGTATGTTCTATGGATGGTGGGAATACCTCAAGATTGGTATACCTTCTATGATTACCTTATGCTCAGAATGGTGGGCATATGAGATTGCTACACTGGTACCTAGTCTCTTGAGCCTCAAAAAGAGGGGAGATGTATCCCTCAGATCGTCGGTCTATTGCGTGACTCCAATCAATTGGCAGCACATGTTTCGATCTGCAACCTCTTCGTTATTGTAAGCTGTCCCTCATCGAGCTCACACAGGTTTATAACAGATGTTCATGTTGAGCTACGGCATCCAAACTGGCCTCAGCGCTAAGGTGGGGAGCGCGGTTGGGGCTGGTGATCTGCATCTGGCGAAACTGTATGCATGGGGGTGACATGAGAATAGTCGGTACTTACTCTTATCAGTTACTGCAGGGCAGGTATCGTGATTGGTGGATCGATGATCATCATCGTTGTACTTCTCCTTTGTACCTTCAGAGACTCAATAGTCCGGCTTTACGCCGAGAAGGAACCCGATGTGGGCTTCTCGAGCACCCCAACAGCTTACAGCTATTTCAACATCCATCAGGTAGCGGCCTATGAGTTATATCTAGTACGGCCGCTACTATGCATTATCCTACCCTTCGACTTCACTCAGAGCTGTCTGCAGGGAGTATTCAAAGGTTTAGGTGGGCTCTCAATAACGTCATCCTTTTCGGCAAGACTGCAAACTATAGGTATACAACGATATGCTGTCCCAGTGAACATTATCAGCTATTATATTATCATGTTACCTCTTGGATATCTACTATCGGTAAGACAGTCCCAAGGCAAAATCTCACATTCTCGATTTCCCGAAATTTCCTTCACTTCTGAGGTAACCACGTTTTACTTGTCCTCATAGGTTGAAGCAGGATATGGTGTCGATGGAATGTGGATGGGTTTTGCAGTTGGTGCCTCTATCATCGCTACTTCATACACGACGATACTTGCATGTACACTCTCCAAACGTTCTTTTAGTCCGCCCCATTAATCTCATTCATTGAATGCAGGTACGGACTGGTCCACACACGTTGCAGATGCTCAGCTTCGCATAATACATGGTTTTCGATAGTGAGGGCTGTCGAGCAATAGGGGGCATCATTTGAT